CTCAGCAGCCCTTTCGCGGGAAGAAGGGGAACTGGGGGAAGCCCAAGTCCTCTAAGGACGGCAAGGGCCCCTCCAGGTGACTCTCCTTGGAGGGGTTCGTATGCCGACAGCGCCAACTTCGGTTGGCCCGTAGGCGAACCCGAGTCACTTGGCCCTGGACAGTTGCGCCTGCCCCTCTCCTTCCCCAGTGGGAGCCAGACTCCAGACTTACTGGGAAAATTGGGAACAAGTGTTCGACAACCCGTGGGTGGTCAACACGATTCGGTACGGCTATCGGCTCGATCTCAAAGCGAATCCGCCGCTCACCGTTGCCCCGTCGGCAGGTTTCTATTCGGAAACCGATCTTCCCTTCCTCGCCGATGTCATCGGCAGGTTGATGGAGAAGAGGGCAGTTCGGGAGTTAGCTCTACCAGAAATAACACTGGGGTTTTACTCCAGGATATTTCTCGTTCCCAAGAAGGACAGTGCCGAACTCAGAATGATTCACAACTTGAAATCGTCCAAGTTCAGAATGTTGAGCTTGGCGGACCTGAAAGCACTGATCATGCCTGCCGACTGGCTCGCTTCGATCGACCTGAAGGATGCTTATCTGCATGTTCCGATTCACCCGGATCATCACAAGTATCTCAGGTTTGTCTTTCAAGGCAGGCACTACGAATGGGTTGTACTCCCATTCGGTCTTTCATCCGCTCCCTGGCTGTTCACCCGGTTAACCACCCCCATAGTGGGGTTCCTCCACCGGAGGGTGTCCGGTACTTCGCTTACCTGGACGACTCGCTAGTAGCAAATCGAATGACGGACACCCTGTCACGCCATCTCGTTTTCGCACGTCGGCTCTTGGAGCAATTGGGGTGGATTATCAGTCTCCCCAAGAGCGAGTTAACCCCTTCTCAGAACTTGCAGTTCATCGGAGGTCGGTTCAACACGGTGTCCCATCGCCTCTTTGTCCCCCCAGACCGGTGGCACAAGATTCAGGCGATGATTGCCAAAGTCTTAGCGGTGCAACAGACTGTTCACTTTTGGGAACAGCTGTTAGGGCTACTTGTATCAGCCCAGGACTGCACCGAACGGGGTCGTCTCCAACTCCGCCTGCTGCAACGGTTTTTAATCCAGTTGTTAGCAACGGAGGTGAACAGTGCGACCGTCGCCCTCCCGGATCGGCTCCGACCGCATCTGGAGTGGTGGACGGTCCCTTACAATGTCTTATCAGGAGTCTCTATGCGGCCCTACTGGGCCACGTTGAACCTGTATACAGACGCCTCTCTAGTGGGCTGGGGAGCCCATCTAGAGGGGGAGGTGAGCTCTGGGCTGTGATGCGTAGACGAACTAGGTCTTCACATCAATTGTCTCGAGTTCAAGGCAGTGATCAACGCAGTCAATCACTGGAAGCATCGTCTCGTCGACGCCCGGCTCATGCTGGCGACCGACAACACGACGGTAGTGTCCTATGTGAACAAACTGGGGGGAACCCACAGTCACTCGCTACTCGATCTCACGTTCGAGTTTTACGCTCTGGTGGACAGTGTCCCGTGCCAGATACGCGCCCGTCACATCCCAGGTGTGCGGTAGGTACTGGCCGATGCTCTATCGAGGCCTCAGGATCCGAGCCCCACAGAGTGGATGCTGAACCCAGTAGTGTTTCAGTGGCTGTGCGAACGTTTGGGTCGTCCGATGGTCGACCTGTTCGCAACGCGGTTCAACAATCAACTCCCGTTGTTTGTATCACCAGTCCCGGACCCGAGGGCCATCGATCACGATGCTCTCGCATTAGACGGGACGGGCTTGGATGCTTATGCTTACCCGCCGACAGCGTTGATACCACACATTCTAAGCCGGCTCCGAGGAGTTCGCTGTCGAATGTTACTGATCGCGCCCATGTGGCCGAACAGATCGTGGTACCCCGACTTGCTGACCCAGGTCACGCAGTCGCCACTTACACTGCCTGTGAGACCGGATCTCTTGATCCACCCTCACACCCGTCAGCTTCATCCAAACGCAGGGCAGTTCAATCTGCACGCGTGGATGTTGTCACCGAGCGTCTGAGGAGTAAAGGTTTTTCTCGCCGGGCGTCTCGGGCATACGTTAGTATGCATCGTGATTCTACCCAGAAGGTGTATAATGCACGTTGGGTTATTTTCACGAAGTGGTGTTGTAAACATCACATTCATTCGCCAGATAAGGTATCTGTGCAGGATATTGCTCGTTTCATGTCTCACTTGCGAGAGACCCGGAAACTCTCCGGGGGTTCCATTGCCAACTATGTCTCGTCCGTTGCTACGGTACGGGACATTGCTATGGGTACCAGTCTCTCCAAAGAGCCGGTGATACGGGGTATTATCAAGGGTTTCAAACAGCACGATCTTCGGGCACCGGCCTGGGATCTTTCCCTAGTGTTGCAATCACTTACGGAAGCTCCGTATGAACCCTTGCATAGTGCTTCGTTCCGGCATGTGACTTGGAAAACAGCATTTATCCTCTCCTTTGCCACGGCGGCACGGGTATCCAAAATTCATGCACTCGATGTCGCCAAGGTACGATTCGATAGGGGTGACGAAGGAGCGGTCCGCCTGGGCTTGCTCATGGGCTTCGTCGCCAAGAATCAGAGAATCGGGCAAACAGAGAGAGAATTCACTGTAAGATCACTCAAAGAAATCTTACATCCTGCTGATACTGAGGACAGAGCGCTGTGTCCGGTTAGGGCCCTTAAGTATTATCTTAAGGCTTCGAATGAAGGTAGACAAGGGCGTGACCGTCTGTTCATATCGTGTAACCCTAATCGCACGGTTGACATAACTCGCAACTCGATTGCGTTGTGGCTTCGTTCTGTCATCAATCTGGCGTACCAGTCTCGGGGGTTACCGGTAGCGGGGTCAAACCCGCACGAGATCAGGGCGCTAGCGGCAACATTTGCCCTACACTCGAATATCTCTGTTCACAGAATATTACAAGGTTGTTACTGGCGTTCTGACTCGTTTTTTGCCAATCATTACCTCAGAAGGGTTTCTGATGAAGACTTGGAGGGGGTGCACCGTCTTGGGCCGCTGATCGCGGCACAAGCGGTCATCTGGGGGGGGGATGTCCAGCGCAATTCCAAACTCCGCAGTCGTCAGTCCTTGCATGGTGGTCAATCTGGGTCGTCTCCAATGTTCCCTGGCCGTGGGTACAGGAGTGGGGGTCCTGCAAACCAGCGCACTCACACCACAGGTGAGGCGGCTTTTTGTGTGTTTTGTCCTTATTTGTATTTTGACAATTATGTATTTAATTGTCTGTCGTGTATTCCAACCTTGTGATACATGCTTACGAATACTGGAATTAGGTCACGCGCCTATTACATACTTTAAGTAGGCTTGCTCGGGGATATACGGTCTGAATGAAATTAATTTTCCTCTTTAGACTGTTTAACCTGATCTAAGATTTAGCTCACGCCGATACAGTGTTCTCATCCGCTGCGGCGATGAAATACCTATCCAGTGGGGCCGTTTGGAGTCACCAATCGTTTTGGCAATGGCAATTGAGCCTAACGGTATGCGCTTGAGAGTGCTTTTGTATTCCTATAGGGTAACGCCTAGCTAGGTGCATGCGCATCGAGTGCTTCCGCCTTGGTGTTTACTTCCGCTGGTCGGAAGGAACGCTAGCAGTCAGGATTCGGGTTGTAGGTGCTCCCCACCGCCTACTGTGGTAGTCAGCCTCGGTATAACAGTGGTAACATATTACTTAATGTAATTTGTAGAATTTTCCTATTCGGAATATTCTATAAGTAATACGTTACCACTGGGCTGCTGCCCGCCCGTCCGTCCCCCGAGCACTTGCTCTCGCAAGAGACAAGAGTGAAGGGTGTCACATGGCAGCTAGGTGGCTACGCACGTGCTGCATGAGGTAATTGAGATCTCTGTGGTAGATTTCGCTATAGCAGCAGTTTTGGGAGACAACAGCCTCGGTATAACGGTGGTAACGTATTACTTATAGAATATTCCGAATAGGAAAATTCTACAAGTTTTATGATTGTTCAGGTTTCTTAGACCAAGTTCCCAATTGGAGGGTGGATTCGCTTGTCTGTAGAGAATTCGGTCTTCCACAGTGTAGTCACTGCAAGGTGCGGCAAGGTGTTGCACATGGCACCCCGAACCTTTATTCCACTCACCTCTCCCTTGAGTATTTGTGTTGTCGGGTACCTAATTGGATATTGTCGATTGTTCCTCTTCTTGTCGTGGTACGCTTTAATCACTCTGGTGTGTAATTGCCTTGACGAAGCATTAAAAGAGATGCTGCTGAACAGATGCATGATATTGTCTGTGGGAGATAGTGTTGTGCTCGATCTTGTTTCATTGATTGACTTCTGGATCGATTAAAAGTTGTACACTTTATCAGTTATTTCTTTGCAGCTACACTGCCTTTCATTTAACAATGTCATACGTGACAACATGTTTCGCATATTGTACCCAATCTCATGCTGTTACGTTTGAGTAGCGTAGGGATTGTATCACCAGTTGATGCATGATTTCCCGCTCATGTGATCAGGGCGTGTAGGTCGCTATGCACAGGATAACATGTGTGACCCATTTGTTTGGGTGGTGACCATGGTGAAACTGGGATGTGTTCGGGTGAATTGTTTTTGCAGATGCTGGAAACTCTGTTCAAGTACGTTTCCACATAGGATCAAAGAAAAGAGAAGAAATGCATAGTGTGAGATCGGATAAGCATACAAATATAGAATTTCCTGGAAAATTTCCAATAGATGGTCCTTGTGAAAGACTATAGATGTCAGTGTTTTGTTTTGTTTTGTCAGTGCTCAAAATAATAATAGAGGTATATAATAATAATAATAATAAAGTGCAAGACTCATGCTCAAAGCGCAGTATTAACGCAGGGGACGGATCAGTGTGCTTTTAAATGCTGTCTCTTCTCCCTGGCGAGTATACAACCAATGCCGCCTGTTCGGTGGTAGCAGGTTTTTAATTCATGTTACTGGACTGTGTCTATTCTGTCACTGCATGTTTCAGGAGGAGAAAATAAAGAGGCAGAAGAGTGTACAGCCTACAACTAAAACCAAGAAAAATAAGGGAAAAGCAGGTAATTATCTTGACCTCTGCACTGGACTGTTCATCCTTGACATTGTCTGTGTTGGTATATTTGGGTAGTGGAGGCCTCTATCATAATATATGGTTATAATATTTCTTATGTGCCATGCTCTCTCTCTCTCTCTCTCTCTCTCTCTCTCTCTGATCCCCCTAGTACACACACACACAGAGATTCTGAAGCTGCTATCACAACACTCTCTCTCTCTCTCTCTCTCTCTCTCTCTCTAATACACACACACACACACACAGAGATTCTGAAGCTGCTATCACAACACACATGATGTGTTACGATTCAATCAATAAAAAAAGAATTATGCTTGCCAAGGCCTCACAAGTATTTCTAATATGATATTTAACATACAGAAACGTTCTTGGCTAATAGTTTCTAATTATTGACAATTAGACCCAACTCACTGACTGCATGTGTTGTAGACATGGTGAAAGTACGGAGAAACCTGTTTGAAGGAGACAAGCCAAAGCTGGAGAGACGACAGTCTGTGGCTGTGATGGAGAGAACAAGAAAATCTCCTCGCAAAAGAGTCACAGCAACATCTTTTAAAAGTCCTAAAGGTGAATGTTTGAATGAAGTGACCAGCTTCAATGTATTCATAATTTATTTGAATGTATTTAAGATAAGTTGCTACAAGCTATGTTATTTGTATTTTACTGCCTACTTCATTTAGCCACATATTTTTGTTGCTTAATTCTTCGTTTAGTTTTTTTGAACGACCAAATGAGCCACTAACTTATTTAATCTAAATTTAAGGAACAATATCTTGTATACATAACATAACAAAATCAGAATACAGATATGAGGAATGTTATCTCTGAAATGATATCCTACTCATTACTTGCAGCCTCCAAGTCACCTGGTGTCAAGCGGCGGTCAGTAGCAGAGACGCCAGCACACAAACAGCGGTCTAATGCTGTGTGGAATCGTCTGGACAACAAGCGGAAGCGAACTCACACAGAGGAGGAGGTGGAGGTGGTCATGGAGTCCCCCATGAAGCAGTGTGAAGGTGAGCTTCATCAGCTACAGATTATCATCAGTTCATTCATTTGTTAGCATTACAATTCCTTCGAATACCCTGCCTCTATTTACATCCTATCCATAAATTCCTGTTAGGGCTGTCATCACAGCTTTTAGATTTTCAAGAGACGTCCTCATCACTGCCATGTTATCTAATAAGTTGTGAGGTAAACCCTATCTCAATACATTACAATAAAACTGATTTTCCTGGAGAATGATTATTATTAATAATAATCCACACCCTAAAGCAGTCTCAAGGCGCTACATTGATGAAACTCGACTTGTGCTGTGGCACCCATTAATAGGAACGTTTATGGATAAGAGTTCAACATGTAAGCTTCTGTAGCTTCCTTTTTGGTGCGAATAACAGCAAATAATATATAACAACCCACCTGTGTGTCAGATTTTCATTGTCAATACTTTCTGGGACATGTTGACCGATATTGTATGGTACAAGGCAATAACACTGACATTAAAAAGCCTCGAACATTCGTTTGAAATTCATTTGAAATACTAATTAAATAAGATCAGTTTGCAGCAGTCTTACAAGTATGTGCCTGTTAACATAAACTCGTATGTGATTGGCTAACAGACAATGTCATCCAATGAAATTACAGAAGAGAAGTAATACTATCAATGCTATTCTATATACACACCTTTCAAGCAGAGGTTGACTAAATTGATGAGAATTCTTTCTGTCAATATGCGCATTGAAATGAACAAAGTACATGAATTAGAGTATCTGCCCCTCAGCGAGTGATCGAGTTGTCAGTAATGGACACAAGTTTTGCTGAAACTGACCTGGCCCTGAGTACTCGATTACTTGTTGGAGCCCTGTTGCTCGTCATGCTGAAGACAAGGGTTTGTTTCCTACAAAGGTTCACGTGATAAGCTAATTTGTCTACCCTTCTTTAGGAATCACACTTTGCAAAGCCAATTAATACAAAGTGTACATGTACAGTGTACACTTTCCTTAAAACCTGAATAGTAAAATATTCATTTAGGAACAGAAGTAGTTTACATTTCAATAATGATAATAATAATTTTTCACCATCCTCTCTCTTTGACCAAAATGTTCAAAGAAATTATCATGTTGTGTCCTATCATTGAGCTACACCCATTTCTATCACTAAATTGTTTTGTTACTTTTGATTGCAGACAATTTCAAGAAAGTTAGTCCATCTCGGAACAAGCACGCAATGAACATGATGCGCCGTTCCTTCTACTCAGCAGGGCCAAGGAACAGGTCACGCAATCTTACCAAGTATTTCCAGTTTGCAGACAAGATTGCTGGTCGCCAACAAAGGGCGTCTCTTGGGGATGTCTCTAAATGTGGATCTGAACCCAGACCCCAAACCAGTTTCAAATCACCATCGCGTTCCTCCTTTCTCATGTCTCAGCTTATGGGCAGCCCCTCCCCCCGACACAAGACACCCAGTAAATCTCACACAGCCACCACTCCAAAACACATGGTCCGAGAATCACCGTTCCGGGGTACGAGATCTAAAACTCCAAAGAAATTTTCAAAAGTGCTCTTGTTTGATAGTCCGAAGCGTCCATTGGTTCCGGTACGGGAACATGAGTCATCTGACATAATGATGACAAGTCCAAGCAAACATCACCGGACACCGAAGAAGCAAGGACAGGAGAATGTACTGTGTGCTGCGTCACCATCTCGGAACACCAGGTCTCACACTCCTAGCAGATCAAGAAGTTCCACACATGACCAGAATGTCAACTCCTTCCCTGTAGCTGCTGACAACATTCCTATCCCATCCACCCCGAAACGAACACCTCATCGTCCTACATCTACACCCTCCCTCATCTCCCCTCCCCCTGGTCCCCCCCTTACTCCTCAGAGATCCATCCTCAAGTCATCACAGTCCTCAGCAGCTAAGAGGATTCTGGATCTGCCCTCAACTCCTCAAAGAACACCCAAGTTGTCACAAGGACTTGTGTGTGAGTCTCCCAGCCAGAATACTCGGTCTAAGATGTCCACCCCTAGTCGCACATCAGTATGTACGGCACTGTTTATGAAGAGCCCTAAAGGCAGGGTAACGCCTAGAACTAAACTATTCAGTGATGTCAGGGCACCTTCAGACACAGGCTCTCCATGCAGGCATGTGCGCTTTGATGATGTTGGTGATGCTGAAAATACAGAACAGAGAGAGTCTGATGTAGGAGTGACCCATGGTAAAACGAAACTGTCCAATCAGCCAACAACACGAATTGCATTTCTTGGTATGGACGGTTCTGTTACATCATTGAATCTGAATGTACCTGCAGTTACGTCTCCTGCATCTAAACCAGAGCAAGTGCAGAGGACCCCTTCACCTCAGAAGCAACCGAAAGTTAAAACGCCAGACTCTTTTGATAAGTGGCCAAGAAGGAAGAGAAGATGGGCATCACCGACTCCGGCACCTTGCCAGAAGGAGAACCTCCATGCAGGCAACAGTCCGGCAAAGGAAGAGGGAAGCAACACAGCTTCAGGAAGAGAAACTACGACAGAACATAACGTATCAAGGAAGAGGAGTTTTGTTGAGACCATCCAAGACTCGTCCACAATGTATTCACCATGTAAAAGATCCAAAACATCATGGTCAGAATCTATTTCATTAAAAGATTCAAAGGACACCCGGTACTGCCTTCATCAGCGAGTCAGTTCACTTGCCAGTGTATATGAGCGACTACCATCAGAGACCAATTCCAGCATGGCGACCTCTGGGTTGGATTACTTCTCCTCCACCAATGACGATGTCTTCCTGCCCAGTGGGAGCCAGGGGATGCATAGTGTCACATTGAATTCCTCTTATGGTCAAGCTTCTGGTCAGTCTCACCTTCACTCTACAAGAAACAGAAGTCAGGTCCATAGTTTAGGCAGACCAGAGTCACCTGTGTTTGGATCTAGTCCAAGCGTATCACGATTGCTTCAAGATCAACACACCATATCCAGTACATCCAGTCAGGGATTTGATGTGAACACTGAAGAGGAAGAAGAATTCCCATCTTCTCCTAAGTTCCAAACAAGTCCAGCATTGACCAACAAGCCATCAAGAACTATTTCTTCCCCACAAGCGTCAACTGCGTTTGTCTCACCAGTTCGACAGTCACCAAGAACAAGCAAGTCGACTCCTTCACCTCATTCTGTGTCACCCTCATCCGTTCAGATGTCCCCATTTCCTAGAACATCATCTGTTGCAGAATCACCTCGAGAGCGCAAGTTCTCTCCTTCCGTATCCGCTCGAAGTCTTGTCCTTCTTATGAACTCTCCCATTATCAAAGCAGATGGGATTCAGATTAAATCACCTCAGGAGAAAAGACATTCTTCACATAATCCACACTTTAAGTCGCGGAAATCACTGAATCTACACAAGTGATACCTATAATTGTAGATAATAGCATTGTTTATTTATGTTGCCATGGTTATCAGTATAAGTTTGTTGAAATGATGAAAAACCTCAAGGTTATTGGATATATCTATTTGTCATGGGTGTCATCAGCATTGCTCACATAGATTCACAATAATGCAGTAGTAGACACACTACTTGTAGCCAAGCCATCAGCAGATCATGAGATCAAGTCCTTGTAGCTCTTCTGAGAGGGGTATGTCTTTTTTATGTAATTTTACCCAAACTGGAACAGTTTGCATGATTTCATCTTTCATATCCAGAATTTAAATTTTCTGAACAAAATTGGAATGTTATACAGCATGATATTTGTGATGTGATTGACAGGCAAGTTCATGGACATCCTGGTCTGGGCCCCGTTTCACAAAGCGATCTTAGCGCTAAGGTGAGCGCAACTCTCATACTTTAACGTTTACTTACGACAGTCGTAGCGCTACGATCGCTTTGTGGAACGGACCCCTGGTGTAATGAAGTCTTATCATGAGTGGGTCTTTCAGTCAGGCAGAGCTGTGTTTGTAGAAAAGTAGAATACACCAGCTATACCTTAATCATGTTAATGCAGATTTTAATCTTTTTCTCTCTTTTGTCTGTCTAGCAATAAGTTTTACATGGGTTGCACATTTTGGAACAAAATACATTTTATTCAACTGGTTAAGACATCTATTATTTTTATGTATGTTTCCAACACTATAAAATTTGGATTAACACTAGCTAGTTTTAGTTCCTGTTCAACAGATGCAGGACTATTCCGCCATTTTTGCTAAATGTACGTAAAACACAACACTCTTTTTAAATCATTAACAAATAATTTCATAGGTCAAGTTAGGCCAAAGTTAAGTCTAGGCCCAGTATTAAATATGTTGTAAATATATAATGGGATACTTCAATTTCTTGTTTCCTTTAAACAAATATAAAGATGTTTCACATGTGATAATGTTTTTGTGTGGATACCCTGAATCTTTATATCCAATGTCATAATATAATAATCATGTTTATCAGCATTAAGAGAAATTGTTTCATAATCTTTTCACAGTACTTTATTCCTCTTAGTAAGTTGTTACTAGAAGTAGTTTGCTGATTATCTTTGAAATATATGTACATAAAACTATATGCAACTATGGTTAGTGATAATATCTAAATAAATGTGTACCACCAGGAGAAACGGGACCTAAAGAGTGCTAGGATACAATTGTGCTATGACGTCAACTTACTTCAGTGAAGATCGCCATGTGTGATGTCATGTATCTCTGTAATAAATATAAATTGAAGCTTGTGAATTATATTTTTGTGTTCCGAGGATGCTGTAGTTTTAAAATATAATGAAAGGTCAAAATGGGATTTTTCACCGATTTGGCTCTTAATTATCTCATGGTTGGTCACAAATGATAGTTCTGAGCAAGGTGGAAGATCAGACTTGCAGGTTTGTGTATGTATTTTATCAGAGATTGATTTCATATGGGAAAAGTGAAAACTATATGTTCCATGCATTATGCCAATGTGAAGACATCAGATGAAAACCACGGTACCAGAAAGTGGTTGTTTTATTAAGACTAGGCCAGAGGACAAGTGAAAACTTGAACGAGATAAAAATGTTTACTATGTTTACATTTATTGTCAGTTTTATTCAGTTCCAATTTGGAACAAAATTATAGTATTCAGAACTGATTCAGAATTATAGCTCTCAAATGCCCTCATCTTTGTATTTCTACTTGTCCTTATCACAATTTAGTCGTCTTAGGCTTATGAAAGCATGAAATTCCAAAGCTGCAGTAGTGCCTCCATTAGTTTGACTAAAATTTGATTCAATGAAATATTCAAGAATCCATCAAAATAAACTTCACTGAAACAATGCAAATGTATCCAACACTCCATTAGTCTGCCACGGGGAACAAGATGTTGCAGTGTGGGGCTTGAGGACTGTACACACAAATACTATGAAGTGGGTTTGCTGAACATGAGATAAAACAACATAGAAAAAAGCATGCAAATCTGAGCTCATAAGTTTTAAGATATCATGTTTCATATTTATTTGTTTGTTGGTAGTCAACATCTCTTTCTCTTTAGAAGGGTTAAAACTCTTGTTGTTGCACAAGTGATCAATAATGTATTCATATTTTCACTATTTGTCAGACATGTTAATGGTTATAATTGGCAGAGAGTATCAATTGTATACTGTTTTCATAAAAGTTTTAACTTAATGATTAAAAATGGTCTTTTTTATTGTTGTCTTATTTTGTACCAATAGTGAACTTAATGCAGTCTGTGCCTGGAGGTTCAAGTGATGTTGAAACTTTGCAATGCTTGTGTGCTCACAGAATTACTTCCATGGATGCCATTCTAAAAAAGCCATTTCCTAATTCTCCATGGCAGAATAGGGCCCCATGCAGTTTCTCATGCTTGTCATAAAAGCCAACTTAAATGGGGAATGAGAGACTTGGCTGTTTGAGTGTCATGTTATTGCTGACCTTTCTCCCAATACTCAGACATTTGTTTCGTTCTGAAATAAGATGTGCAGGAATTGTTATTTGTTTGTTTCACGCCACAGTCAGCAATATTCCATCTATATGCCTCCATGGTCTAGTGGATAGAGTGTCTGCCCAGAAAGTGGAAGGTTGATGGTTTGATTCCTGGCCGCATCATACCAAAAGACATTTAAAGACGGTTGTTTCCCTGCCTGGCATTAATAGGATAAAAGAAGCCCTGGTCGGCTTGGAGTTGATACAATGTGTGTCCAAGTGGAGTATTCATGTTAGAACTGTGACATAGTATCTGAGTGGGCTAGCACTATAAAGCCAGCTTTAGTATGGACAAGTACCAGCAGCCACACTCATGAATGCATGTCACTACATAAGTGCCATAATTTTGAACATGACATTAAACCCTATTTCACCTATATCATACAAGTAGCCTGTAAATAATCTAGGCCAGACAAGCCAGTGTTGGAAATTATTAGCCATATCCCACTCCTTCAATCAGTATGGTTCAGAAAGGATTGGCAGAATTGTATTCAGGTTTCATATCTGTTCGATCAGTCATGTGAGCCCATAGACATGATCTTGCATTGGTATGGTCAAGGTCACTGATAATCACAACAGGAAATACAACTTCTGATAGGATTATCATTTGATACATATGCTGAGCCGAGACGTTGAATTGTAAAGGTTATTAAATGCATTTTTTATAACCTATAGGGAATGTTGTAAACATAATGTGTATGATCATTCTTTGCTTTGCTTAGAGTCGAGATAAATCTTTGTGTACCAGTTATCCTACGAGTGAAATTTGATGACACTTTTGAGTAACCTCTGTAGGGTCACGATCACTTAAAGGGCATTCATCCTCCTCTTACACATTGCTACAAATAATTTGCACGTCATAAGATTTGATTATTTTGATACATCGTCAATAAGCTTTAGCTTTTGTCTAAACAAATAATGAAAGAAGTGCCGCAACACTGTAGCTCACCTGGATATGTAGTCAACACTTCAAGATTTCAGAGACAAAATGCATTTAGAGAAAATTTAAGAACATGGGCAACATGGTCAAACTTTAAATATGAAAAAAACTTGCAACTAAACATGTTACATTTTCAACAAAATAGCTGATTAATGGCCACAAATAGGTTTTTCTATATAGCTATTTGGGGGGACAGATTGTAAATCGCATTCAAATCTCTCAACAAATTCAGGTGTCCTCACTAGTGGGGGGCAAGCATGTGAATGGTTTTTGAGGGAACTATGTTTACAATTGATGCCAGACATGCAGTCCATGATATAAGCTCACTTAACTTTCTATCAGGTGAGCTAAAAGCAATCTTGCGATCATAAAACCTTCTCAAGTGAAATGTTTGGTTCGCAAGAGGTAATTGTTGTGAAATAAGAGGTGTTTTCTGGAACTTACACTGAACAAGCTCGCATAATCCAGACTACTAACATGACTGGTCCCTGAGAGGATTGTCCAGGGATTATCCAGGTACATGTATGGTGTTGCACCCAGTGATTTATGTTGCTGGTGCCAGCTGGCCAGCTCTCAACATTGCCACTCAGACTGTTTCTACCTACCTCCTGATACTCAATGTCACTTGCAGAGGTGCTGCCATCTTGGATTATTCTGTTGCCATTTGGTCAGACCTTTCAGAATACCAACTACAATGTGATTTTATTGTCTTGAGGATATACACAAGTGACAAGACAATATCAGCTGTGGAATAATTGTAGCATTACTTCAACATAGAAGTATCTTTAACCATTTGGAATTAATATCCAAGGTGTACATATTTTTTTCTACTGAAAATGTTAGACCACCAAAATCCTTCCAGCTGAACCAGCTCTCCATTGTAGAAGATGTCGGACACATCCCCAGAGCAGCCCTTAGATACTCTGTATAGTCCAAGGACAATCGGACAAATACCCCGAAGAGGAGGATATGTGAACAGGTTCAAGTTCCAGAGGGATAGACTAAAAGCACTGCAGACTTTTGAGGACAAATTTCCAAAAAGCTACCCCATCAAGAAAACTTTACCCAAGGTATGCCATCAAACTAGTCCATTTGTTTCTTACACAGTGAAATACAGTTGGTTTGCATGTCAGAGACACCTGAAATCTGGGATGATTATGAATTTTGTTATCTTATAAACAGTCTCAATTGCTCTTATTGGATATACTTCTTGGTGTCTACCCCTGAAAAGTGTCACTTTATGATTATATGAAACTGTAATAATTAGGTAATCTAGGATAGAAAGTTCATGGCAGAAACACAAACAGTGATCAATAAGACAGCATGCAGATCTAAAAGTGACACGTTTGTAAGCTTTTACATTAAACTCGTTAATCAGGGAATCTTCGAAAGAACAGCAACTGGAAGAAATGCATTTGTGTAAAGTGGAAACAAGGTAGAGAGATATGCATTTTTGTCATTTCCAGCGGCAGAAGCTAACACTTTTTGTCCACTAGTCATTATAATGATAACATAGAGCAAAACCCTTCAAAATGGCAAATTTCTACTGGTCCTTATGACACCTTAACTATTGGGCAGTTTGGCAAGAACTACAGGACTATTGCCAATTTCTAGCTCTGCAATTGCCGTAAGTCATCCAATTCCTGTATCTGATCAGGTCATGCTTTATACTACTCACGGTTTCTGGTTGATAAAATCTAATCAAATTGTTCAGGGGCCATACAATCTAATTAAAATCAGAGTTTCTCGTTAAGATGGTAATGTCTGAATCAAGGTGTAGATATATGAAGCCAAATCATTTTTGGAAAGCTGACATCTGAATCTGAACCTATGCATCTTTTATTTAAATTTGACCGTGAAATGTCGCTCAGAATTCACCAGACGTGACCTTCTATGGGGGTGTCCTCATTAATGCAGATCAGTTAAAGATCAGATTTGAATAATGTGAGCACCTTGTCAAATCTAAAGCACTGAGTGTATTGCAAGATACTTTCTATTCCAGCTTTTTGTTTTCTGTCTTACAGCTAGCTCACCTGCGACTGGAGAGAGAGGATACCAACGTTTCCTCCATCAGCTCCAAGTCTATAGAGACCATAAAACTGCCTTCTGTCAGTGCCAACCCCAAGAGATCACTCTATACCAAGAATGACCCTCCAGTGCGAACACTGCATCTCAGGGTAAGTAACACACTGGAGATATTCAAATTATTTCTGACATTGGTGTAAAAAAAAAAACATAAAAATTCATTATGGTTTAATGTGTATCCCCCTCTACACAGCTGTGTTTTTTTTGCATACAAGAAAGAAAATACGGTACTCGTCCTAGGCAGCTGTACCAGGAGGCAGTTAGCATTGGATTATGTCGCAGTCAGCAATAATCCATGCATATTCACAGTGGCTTGTAACAAATTGAGTTAGGCCAGTCATCTTTGTCACACATTATGACCATTTTATCCTCAACTGGAGATCTCTTCTCACCACCAATCCCAATGGGTGGTTGTAAACATGGTAATAGGAAGCTATATTTATTTATCCACACATTACTTTCCACAGGTGAATGTGCCAGTTTGATAATCAAGTATTGTCTGAAAAAGTTCCCTTTCAAATCAAGAGCAACTGTTTCTACTAGACATGCAAACCACACTGTATACAGGCTATCCCTTGTGTATACTAAAGTAGATGCAAAGAGAGAAATGTAATTAGTTTGTTTCACACAAACTTTTTCTACCCACGATTTTGGTCATGCTATTTTCACCTCTATCATAAATTTCAACTCAACTGTGTTTTTATTGTTTTGGAAGTACAATTTTTATATTTTAGAACCATATTACAAATTTGGTCAGTCTTTCTTGGAAACGTGAAGTGATATCGTTCAGTCATTTTATATTTACTCAATATTTACTCTTATTTTTATATAATCAAATAATTGATGTACTTGCAGCTATACCCTGACCATTTCTCCAGGATTGCCCACTCCCTTCCAAGTCTGCCATCCATCCCTGGGTCCCCAGGACCAATCCAGGCCAACACATCCCCAATAGAAGTGTCCCCTGACAATGAAGCCTCACCTGAACCTCAGACCAAGCCAGTTGTTATACCCAGCAAACACAGATACGAGGTCATTGCCTTTCAGAAGACCATCCACACAGAAAAACATGAGAATGGTGGCACTGGACACCCTGGAAAATTCCGAAAACACAATTTATACCATCTTGATGAAAGCCCCCAGAAATCTGCCCGAGAGGAAGATGGGAAGAAGCAGGAAGACATTCCTCCCCTGGTTATCAAAGCACCCATTAAACACAAGCGACGACTGCGTAGGTCTGATCATGTTAGTGATGCCAAAAGTGATGGAGCCTTAGCACACAGGAAGTGGAAAGAGAATTGTGGGTGTTTGCGTTGTCAGATGATCAAGCGACACTGGAGTGAAGGTGATTCTCAGTACAAGATTTGGGGAGAGTATCCCTGTCACCATGTTGACCCCAAGGCTGTTGCTGATGAAGATGACTAGGCAGACATATTTTCTAAAAAATATAAAAACATTTTCTCTGCCAGACATTAATTTTTTTCTGTTTGAAAAAGTGTGCTTCCCTGGTTCACAATTTATAAAAGCGGCAAAATAAGGCTTTTCACAAGAGACTTTTTTTCATTAAAGCCTATGAATGGCCTCAGGGCAAACAGTTTCTTTCCCTCATGTAAATAGTGTATAGACTGTTCACATTCCAGCTGTTTGTTGAAGCAGTATTGTCAGTGTGGATATTTTTGTTATCATACAGATTAATCCTTTTATATTCTTTCGTGATTAAGTTTATAATAATGTCAACTCAACAACTTTTCTTGAAACTGTTTTCATGTTAACTTATAAGTCCAAGTTATAATCAAAGATGTTTTCAAGAAAAGTTTGTAAAATGGGTATCACTTATGGGTAACAAATGAAAACAACTCATTTTGTTTCAGTCATGACAGATTATGTCCTTGTGATGACAGGCATTGCAAGAGCATAACTAGCCGTTTATGACCATTGACCTAAATGTTCAAGTTTCGCTCGAGATTTTCCAACTTTAAAAACATTTTCTTTTCAGTTGGAATTTCCTTCGAAAGATGTTGACATTGTGATGATGTAATAATGATAATGTGTCATTGGGTATACATGAACCAACTTACTACCAAAGGTTCACGGAAGAATTACAGTTGCCTCCCATATATTTCGTAACGTAGGGACACTTTTGTTCTCTGTTTCATAGGAGGGAATGTTTCTCAAAGGTGAAGGTAAGAACAGGATATATTATCTTCATTTCCAATTGTCCGTGCCAGGAGCAAATATATCATTGACTTTGGTTGTTTTATTTCGTTATTATTTCGGATGTGAGAACACTGTTTCATTCCTCACTTCCAAAGTTTCGATGAATCCTTGTATAGGACACTTTGAGGAGATATTATTGGTATGGGGTGATTATTGAAAGGAAGATATTTAAGACTCACCGAGACAAAAATTCCCTTTCAATATGGAAAGGGAACAATTTTTGGTGAGATTTCTTCCTTTCAAATCAGGAAGTAAAAATTGAACATAATTTTTCCTCAAAGTGTTTTTATTTGAAAACATGTACATGATTGTAAATAAACATTTTGTAAACTGGTATTGAAATTTAAGTCGTCACATCTAATTTAATGCCTTTCCCTTCTGAATTTGTAATAAAACATTACATACCTTGTGTCATCGTCTCTGCCCATTCTCATGAACAGTAAACTGAACTTCATTCCAGTCAGTGACATATAGAGTCTTAACTGAAGCCATGATAGATAGGTTTTCACATTTATTTGGTTCCAGTTTTGTGAGTTTACCCCTTATTCTAACAAAGGGACTCTACATGGCAATTGAATGAGATGTATTACTCAACATTTGATAGTAATACTGAGATATTTCATACTGTTCTGAAACTAAGGACAACAACTTATTGAACTGTGAACTGTTAACATAACTTGATAAGAAGTTAGAAATGTACCAGTTCCTTGGCAAAATCAAATACTATTTGTATGACAACAACTCCAAGCAATCAGTCTCATTCTGTTCCCATCTGGTCACTTAGATTAACAAACAAATTAGTAGTATATCAATACTGAAATGTACTCCTATTCAATATATACTACTCAAAAGATGTTAAAGAACACCCGTTAACCTGTCATGCCATCGGGTGTTCTTGAACTTCTTTTGAGTACATGTCTTATCTCTGTTGAAGTCACTCTGCCAGCCTCTTGCTGATCTCTGCAATGCTGTGTTGTAGCTGAGAGTGCTGGTTATGCCACTGCCGTTGTCGGAGTTGCTGCTCCCTCACTTGTCTTTTTAACCGAGTAAGCTGTGCTGCATTACGCTTCTGAGAACATTTCATAAGGAAAGGAAAGACAATATATGAATTCTTGAATTTTTTAGAATGTGTTGTTCTAAAATTCCCCTATCTGTTCAATACATTACTTCATTAGATCCACTGATGTCTTAAACTGAAAAATGGAACATTGTTATTTTTCTGTCTGATAAACATGAAGGGGAAATCAACATGGCAAAAGGCCAGACATATGTTATGCCCTTTGAATGAAATCAGAAAGAGATTGTGTAAAAGGGATTACCTGCAGATTACACAGATGTTGAGATTAATATGGAATATGGAATTGGATTAACCGGTAGACTGCATCTGTAAGCAGCTTATGATACAGAGTTAATGTATCCTGTTGAAGTCCTGTGGGTTTCACCAAAGTGGTAAATGTCTGAGACCTGCATGACTTCAGGCTTTCCTCCCACATTAAGCTGACATGCCGCGATATAACTGTAATACACTCAAAAGCAGCATTAAACCCAACTCACTCACTAACTGTTACATGTCATCTGTTCAAATTTGATAAATTAGTTTGAACACTGAAACTTAATTTAGCACCATCAGTTGCTTCAGACATCATTCGATTGTGTATTCTGAATGTTCTGAAATTTCTTTCTCAATGACATATCTTGTAACTTGAGTAATCACATTATTATGCCTAATTTGTTGGTGTTAAAACTGGAATGAAATATGAATATTTTACACTCCAGACTTACATGTAAAACAGAAGTGGCTATTTGGATCTTTTCTTCTTGATGCTTTAAATCTTCTAACTGTATAAGAATATGAAACACAGAAATATTGATAAAATAGTAAAAAGTAAAACGTCATGCCCAAGGTATATTCAATTGTTTTCTACCCAAACTATTGAAATATCAAATTGTGAACTGCTGCATACTTATATGCATTGCACGTTTTTACTTATTGATACCAGTATCGATCACAGTCGCACACAAGTTTAAGATATTGATTCTTCCCTTAAATGTTTGCTTTAAGATTTTTTCCCCCCAACACTAATTAGTTGTGAAAATTAGTTGTGAAAACATAAATAGTTTCATATATTGCATCATACTTGACACTGCCAACTGTAAATCTTAAGCATGTCAGGTATTTGGTCATCCTGTCCATGAAAAAGATGACTTACGCACCAGATAAGAGCACATACAAGTATCGTGATACGTAGTGGATCGTGAACAAGGTATTGTGCATTGTATCAGGTCACAAAAGTGCTGTATCGTCCCAGCCCTACTGCATACCCTTACAATTTCCCAGTATATTTTACATTTTGAACACTTATCTCTAAATTATGTTACTGGGTGATGTAACAGGCTTATGGGTAAAGTTGACTCATCACCCTAAAGTACTGAGTTTGTTTCTCAACATGGGTGAAACGTATTGAGCCCATTCTTGGTGTCGCTGTTGTGATATGGCATACTGGCACTCACTCACTCCATTTCACTCACTCACTCACTTGATGGAGAAGACATGATACTAGTGTTGTATTTTCTTGCACTAATCTCACCATCTTCTGTTTATGGAGCATCTCTTCTTTCCATGTACAAGTCTCCAACTTCACCTTGTCAATCTCCTTGATGTCGGCTTCTCTCTGGCCAGTGCTCACCGATAAAAACTCATCCATATTCTCGGACAGAAGCTGTTCTGACAATGTATCAAACCACAGACAATCAAACAAGATATTTAAGTCATTTACAGTATTTCTGAACATGCACCCCAGGCTAGTCTTAAGAGTCGATGATGATTGTGTGTCATCCTACCCTGACAGCCTGTACTGCTGGACACACTGTCTGTGGACACTGTTCTGCCAGGCCAAGACTTAATTATCTACAGAGCTCTGGGATATTGTGATATTGCTGACTGTGGCATAAATAAAACAATCCCTGTGTTATTTCTGAAATTATGAATATAATAATATTTGTTAATTCTATTTATATCAACCGAAGAAATGGATTTCACCTGTCTTAAATTTTCCTGCTTATTTGACTTTGGTCTTTTCCCAACATCAAAATGATTGCCCAAATATTGCTGAAGAGTGTCCCTGAAGTCATTAACCCTTAATATGAAACAAACATTAACGTACATACTTTGTTTCTTAAGGTCTTCAAGTCTCTGTTGCAGTTCAGCAAGTTTCTTTTGGGCAGGATGTGATATTTCAAAGTCATTCACTTGTGTTTTGTAGGTTTTCATCTTGGACATATAGTATGCATGCTTACTGGAAGGCAAAGGAAACATGATTTATTCCAAAAGAAGTACTAGTATACAAATGTCAAGTAGTCTGAGCTTAACATGGCCACATTTAGATGCTCCTACACACTTTTTACAGCTGAAAAAAAGGGTTATACATGCAGTACTCCGATCTATGGTGGGACTCAAATCCGTGGCAGATTCTCATTGTTATATGACGTCATGTTTGCGGTGATGTCTTTTCCGTAATGGACATTCAGTTCAACAGTTATATGAAGTCATGCTTGAGATGACGAAAACGATGGAGCTGAACACTATAGAACATTTTTTAGAAAAGTACCGAAATGCAATCCCTTCACAGATGATGCTGTTCCAAAGGGGAAATGATAAAAATAAATCACAAGATTGATCATGGAAAGTTTGCTGCTATACATGAAACTATACAACGTTTAGCGCTATAGAAATTGCCATTTATTAATATTATATGATAATCTGCCATAGATCTGTGAACATACCATATCTGCCCCATATGTGGAATTTGCCACAGGTCTGAGTATACCGCCAATATATGCCAACCATGGATCTGAGTCCTACATATGTTCTTGTTGCTTGTTGTTTAACGCCGCACTCAGCAATATTCCAGCTATATGATGGCGGTCTGCAAATAATCGAGTCTGGACCAGACAATCCAGGGATTGACATCATGAGCATCGATCCACAAACAATGACATGCATCATATGTAAACAAAGTTACTACAATGTCAAAATACTCTGCTTTATATGTACAGTAAAAACAAACTGTTCAAAGCATATGTACACTGTGCATTAACTGTTGATGGTTGCGAATCACATGTACAATGAATGTTTGGTTGGAAAACATATCCTGTATTTTTTCCATTATGCAAGCAATAGAAATTGGCACTAGTCCTGTAGACGTTGTCAAACAGCCCAATAGTTATGGTATCATAGGGACCAGTTAAAATTTGCCAATTTTAAGGGTTTGTACTATATGTTTTCAGTATAAGGACTAGTGGAGTAAAAATGTTAGTTTCTTTTGTTGTATAATGCGGTACAGTAGTGAGGCAAGTGGGGATGAAAATCTACGAATTAATTTACAATGGCTTAATGCATCACATTACCTTGTTTCTGTGAGCAAGCCTTTTTGCTTTGTTGTCAGTTGATGTCTAAGGCTTTCACAAACCTTTACCAATGAGTCTATTTCTGAAAATACAATAAAACATTGACTTCAGTTTTTCTGTGTGGAAGTGAGTAACTGAGTGAGTGAATGTTGTTTTGTACTGGAGTCACCAATATTTCAGTCACTTCATAGCAGCTTTTCAATCATGAAGTCGGGATCTTGGTATGATGACAAACAACAGAAAGGTCTGACATGCAACCACCCAATCCCCATTGTAACCTTTACTTGTTCCCATTTGGAGACCCCCCAGACTCCGTGCTTCGGTTGATAGCTTGTCCTCGTATCCCAACAGCATGAATCGTTGCTCACAATATCAATCACTGGTTTGTCTCGTCCAGACTTAATTATTTACAGGACAACATCATATGGCTGGAATATTGCTGAGTGTGGCATTAAACAACAAACCAACCAACCTTTTGGAGAACCAATGTGAAAAGGCAGTTTACAGTGTTCAGTTCTTTATTCCGTGACCAAAAATGATCAACAAACAGCCACATAATGTTACACATCAACCTACGTTTCTGATGAGCCTGACACAGCTTCTCGTTCTCCATCACTTCCTCCTCAATCATCCTAGTCTTCCGGTCAATACTGGAGATTTCTTGCTTTACACTTCTGTGTTTTGCGTTACCTAAAATCAGTTCTAAGTTCAAAGAGGAAGACGATTCTGATGGAAAAAATATCTGAGCTCATATTGACTGAGTTATAAACATTCTTCAACTGTTAAAGCTTTCAGTATAAGTGAATTTTATGGTTTACGATGAGATATTACAATGATCCTCAGACTGTAGACGTACACACAAAAATACAACAGATGTTTCATGGCTTGTTACTTGTGTAACCTTTCCTAGTAATATATATCACTTAAATGTCAGTGTATGGCTTTTATTAGGGGTGACTACAGGGGTTATTTTCACTTCTGCAAATGTATTACGATAGTTGTCAACCGCTACTGCTAAACAAAGATCTGAGGACATCCCATTATGGGTCACGTCAGCGCGACCTTTTATCCAACCAATCAGAGCGTTGCTTATCTGATCCTGAAAGTGACAGTCGGAATGTGTTTTCTAATCATGCAACCTCGAAATATTTAACAGAGGGTATTCAGAACGACAGTTATTGGTTTTATGATTATATCCATACAATCTAGGCCATCTATAAGTCATTCCAGAATGTTGTTTTGGTCAGTTTTAAATTTTTTAATCGAGAATACGTCAAAATATGTTTCAAAGCATAGTCCCCAGTTTGAAAGTAGTGCTGTAAAGCTCGAGAAAGCTGCCTTCTGATTGGCAAATGTTGATTTCTTGTCAGTCATTTCATTGGTCGGTCAATGTTCGCGAATGGGATGTCCTCAGATCTTTGGTTAGCGGTAGCGAAAACTCAGATCTGATTTTAATGAGATTGGTAGTAAACCAACTTTAAGGCTTGATAATTACATTAATCAATGTAATAGAAATGAATTAAGTATTGCTGACAATCTCAAAGATGGCCCCTTTTCCCCCTGTCACTACTCAAACCTAGGAAAGTTCCACTATTCTGAAGTTGCCATAGTCCTTGCTAACCAACCACACAGACAGGTTTGAAATTCGCATAATATATGTACCGTATTCGACGTAATAATCGCCCCGCTCTAATAAGCGCCCACGGCGATATTTGCTAAACAATTGGCTAGTGAACAATCCCAATTAGCACCCCTTTCGATTGATCAATGTATCACATTGATCAATGTAATACGTGTGTTATATGCACCCTTAATTATGGGACATTAAATTCTGGAAAAAATATATCTGTCGTATATAAACAATTCAGGCTGTCAACATAAACCACGAAATTTACGATCTTTCAACTCTGTTGTTTTTCACCAAAATAATATTCTAATAAGAGCCCCCTATTTCTAATTTTGAGAGTGCCCTGGGCGCTTATTATGTCGAATATGGTATTATTTAACTTATTGCAACTATTGCAACTATCGTTTGTTATTCATACTATTGACAATACTCTTGGCATTTTTAAATTCCTATCGAAATAGGGCAAACAATTGCGACAGTTTGACATACTGTTACAATCCTACCACTTATGTAAGACATTTCTATTCTCATTCATCAATGGATTTTTCAGATCAATGATCAATCTTGAATTTTAAACCATTGCCAAAACTAATACTCACTTTCTTTGATGTCATTCTGTAATGCAAAATATAATTGTTTTAAGAACATATTGTTTATCAGCAAGTCATGAACACACCTAACATGTCTTATAGCTGACATGGTGAAACAGACACTAAAAGATCTTAAGGATTACAATACAATAGGATGTCACTTGACAAGAGATAGATCAACAATAGACTACCTACTTGTAGGTTTTTAAGCTGCATGAGCTGTCTTTCTAACTCCTTATTGTGGTCCTTCTGTATGGCACTGACTTGACCTACAACTTCAGGCAGACTCAGTAGGTTGTCCACAGCCTGTTCCACCAGAGCTCCCTCCAAGCATATACTGCTCGAGGATAATTCTGTTATTTAAATAACATGGTAAACAAATTTATTATAATAAATTAATTATTATTATCATTTACCTCCACAATTAGAATACTAGGAAGTTGTGCTGATGTGGTCATTGTCGGCGCAGATACTACTGAAATGTTACCCAGATACGTTTCTGTATAGGCAAATGTGGTCCAGGTACCTACCTGTATACATAATGTTCCTGAACTTTGCAATAATATATGTGGGGCATTAGTGTCAGGTCTGTTTTCACAATGTGCAATATATGTACTTCGATTTTGGTAAGGACACAATTGTGCATACGGAAAGGTATGGCTGGAACAAGTTCAAATATCCTACACCAGTACCCGATCCCCTATTGTCCGACACTACCTACGTACCGCTGGAGGTCTGAAGCGTTGGGTCCAAAATGTCGAAATGGGCATTGTTTTACTATTTATATACACGTGTAAAACAGTCTGATCATACATACAGGAAAGTTGATTGAAGCTTTATCTTTACTGAAATATATAAAAGTCCGTAGGAACAAATGCATAGTCAGAAGGAAATATAGTGCAACCATATAATTTATTATTGTTAGTAAACAATATTTGACGAGACTAACCCTGGAGCCGGATAATCCTGAGGGTACCCAAGTCAAACACAGACCCACCCAACCCAAATACCCGAGTTACCAATCCCAGCCCTACAGAAAGGTACCTGTGCTGACAACAACCCCCAACAGCGGAAGTTGTCCACCCAATTCAATCTATGTTTATGGGGATCCTTCCAACTTATTCAAAAATCATTTCAACCACTAGTCCTTATCATGAAATGATAAGAATTTTGTTGAGGACAAGACGGCAATAAAAACTAACAGGTTTAGCCCACTAGTCCTTATAATGATAACATATAGCAAAACTCTTAAAAAGGGCAATTTTAACTAGTCCTTATGCAGGGTTAGAATCTAACAGTTTTTGTCCACTAGTTCTTATAATGATAACCAATAGCAAAACCCTCAAAACAGGCCAATTTCTACTAGTCCTTAGGATACCTTTACTATTGGGCAGTTTGGTAAGGACTACGTACAGGACTAGTGCCAATTTCTAACGCTGCCTTATGATACCTTAACTATTGGACAGTTTGGCAAGGACTAATGGACTAGTGCCAATTTCTAACGCTGCAAGAGTGCCTGTTTTTTAAGATGATAGTCTGCCTGTATCATGTGGTTATTATTCACACAAATGCTGAAAAATTATCAGTGGCATATTTTGTTTCACTTCAGATCTATTTGAAATACAGACCACTCAGTCCACTACTATCTGGAGGTGTGGGCATTGGAAGATCAACAAGGGGAGTATGACCACAGATGACAGGAGTTGGAATCAGTGGCGACTCGATCTCCCCAAGCTTTCTGGATAAAGACACTGACCTTCTCAATTTGGGGGGACTATGTGGAAAAGAAAACAGAAAGGATCAGTGCACAATGTTTTGTGAATCATAATAAACTAATAGATCTAGATCTTGGAGTGGTTTGATATAAAAATTGTTTTGTTATTATTTTGAGCATGCTGAGTTAGGTCTATTTAAGCTATATAGCTACAGCTGATGGCTTTAACTTATTAACTTATTATATTTCTGGTCCCCACTAATGTTTGCATGAAAGTTAATGCACTATCATAGACATATAAATTTGCGTCTTTTCTCACCAAGATTACGTCAACTCTTCAGATAATCAAATTTGAAAGATTGCAAATTTTCCTCATATTGCAATCTGCCACAGAATTATAGCCCGATGTCATCGTGAACGTTTTTGAAACAAACCTGCTGAAGCCTGCGTCCATATTCATATCATCCAACAACTTTGTGTGATTTGTACCCTGCTGGACGTCTGCTGACACAAGGGAGATCACTCCTATTGAGCACATGACGATCGCTTCTGTTCTGAAGACGGCCATATCCATATTCAATAGCTGTGTTCGAACTAACCTGATTACAATATTTATCGGGTCGTAATACTAATTTTATCGGATCGCTTTATCACATCCGTAACACTATAAATATGTTAAATAGTGATGCAGGGTTTCGGGTCGGGTTTTTGTTTCTGTGGGAAAAATCCGAAATGTCCGAATAATTTAAAAACAAAAATCAAGAATTGATACAATCACGAAAATGTCATTTTTAGTTTGCAGAATAATTGTAATATATGCTATGTTTGAAGAATTTTGGTACTTTTTAATATATAGAACTTTCTTTTTCTACCTCGGTAAACGACACCCAGATCGCAAATGTCTTAACAGTCTAAATCTGTGCAAAGTTGGGTCCCTTTAGGCCTATGATCGTGGGTTCGAATCCCGGTTCTCCCCGATTATGTTTCTTGGTTTGTCAGCACCATAGTAAGGTCCTGACCCCTGCTCGTGGGTCTCACCAAAGTGGTAAATGTCTGAGACCTGCATCACTTCGGGCTTTCCTTCCACAGCAAGCTGACACGCCGTGAAATAACTGGAATATTGTTCAAAGTGGCATTAACACAACTCACTCACTCACGTACTGCCCCTGCTCCATTGGTTACAGTATTTGCAGGTGTAACTCTCAGACATGTATCTAGATGTACATATGTTGTGACATTAAAATAATAAATTTCCATAATGCCGCTCAAATTCACTTGAAAGTAGCAAAGTTTCTTTGATGGGCATTTAAAAGTTGGAGTACTAAGTAAGGATAAGATATATGGACGAACAACTGCTTTATTTTTCCCCGCCCTGAAAGCGGGGAAGTATAAGGGTTTATTTAATTTTGACTGAATGAGGGCGCCTTTTTGGTTTCTCTAAGAAAATTGGAGTTTTTAAAAGGAAATGAGAGTAACTTAATTCGGACAAGTTTTAACCCATCGCCTGTCACATTCTGTCATGTTTCGTTATGTAGATAATCCATGCAATTTGTTCATTTTTTTTTAAAAAGAGGTAAACAGGTTTAGGGGAAATATATCTCCTTTCGCAAAAGTACACCGGTTTATATTTTGTAAGAATAAACTATTGCGCATTGAGCGATTATTTCCTTTAGCTATAGGCGTAGTATAGAGCTTTATCACGCACTGACCTTGCAATGCTGTACATCGTTTCTTATTCACTGAGAATGAGTGATTATCTCCCTTACCCGAATAGCTCAATCGCGCAATGCTATTCCGGCAGCCAGCGAGAATGGTTCCCGCGAGGAATTCAGGTTAAGCATGTAATCGTTCTCCCTTCACACTGCTATTGCAACCTATTGTTCAACACGATTTAATATCAGGCTTCTATAAAGTATGGCTTTGTTCAATAAACAACACATGTAAAACAACGGGTTTGATATGAGACATTTGTAATTAGTTGTCTTCATAATCACATGTATGGTGCTTGCTGGGGCTAGTTGAGCACAGTATTGTTTCAAGTAGTTCACTGTATGTAATGTATGATTAATACCGGTTTATGGTTCTGCATGGTTTATTGCTTTGACAGTTTCATTTAACTTCCGACAGAGATTTTACAACCCTCTATGTGCTTTGCTTCTGGATACATAGGAAATCAACAGGTTGGACTGTAGTTTGCAATTATTTTCCTAAAAAATGATACGTTTGCATGATATATTCACGATGTTATAGATGGACATTGTAAAAGAATTTCTAAACATACTTCAAATCTAAACCGGAAGTAATCACAACACAAACCAAGTTAACCAAACGGAACCGTACACAAGAGTAATGAGTAAGTGAGTGAGTTTGGTTTAACGTCACTTTGAATAGTATTCTACTCATATCACGGCGTGTCAGCTTGACGTGGGAGGAAAGCCCGAAGTGATGCAAGTCATAGACGTTCACCACTTTGGTGAAACCAACGAGCGCGGCTATATGGTGCTGACAACATAATCGTGACGAACCGGGATTCGAAAACGGTTCAAACAATGACTTAATATTTGTAATATGAGGCTGCCAACCCCCTTTAGGTATGTGGGAATGGGGGTTTGTTTAGGGGGTATTCGAGACTGCTGGATGCCAAAAAAATCGTATTTCGTTCGCAGATTCAACATTTGAAAGAACGGTGCGGGTGAAAATATTATTGATATATTTTTAGTTGTTCTATATATTTTTTCAGTAATTTAACTTCTAATCGCGCCATGTTATAGCGTAGGAAGCGTTCTACAGGTTTTCGTCTTGGATTGACATTCTGCCTTTGTACACTGAATTCCGACATGTGGTTTGAGATTTGTGTTCGGGACTCATGGTGGGCAAATGAAACTCAGAGTGACACATTAGTTGGTATTCGGGATTCAGGGGAGACGGGGTGGGCACAATCTAATAATTTAGATTGGTTCCTACTCGTAAGATTGTGTGAGATGTGGCCGATTGCAAGAAGAAGAAAGAAGACAATGTCTCCGAATATGATGATTCCGATATCAAGGTTGAAGAAGCTGAAATACCGTTAGATAGTATTGAATTTAACGATAAGTATAGCCCTCGATCACCTGCATTTGCAGGAGGCACGGGTTGTCATGTCGTTTCGACGCAATTCGCTGTGCAGAGTTGCGTCCCTTAGCCTATAACTCATTCCTTGGTATCAGCATTTATCTGTCCTCGTGTTTCACCAAAGTAGTAAACGTATGACATGCATCACTTCCGGCTTTTTTTCCTTAAACCAACCTCGCTGCTATTTGTAATGTAAAAGATAAGGAGTGGGTGAGTATTGTTTCACGCAAAGTCAGGAAGAGAGGCTAGAGTGAGTGAGTATGGTATTACGCGTCGCCGCTTTTAGCAATATTCCAGCAATATCACGGCGGGGGACACCAGAAATGGGCTTCACACATTGTACCCATGTCGGGAATCGAACCCGGGTCTTCGGCGTGCCGAGTGAACGCTTTAACCACTAGGCTACCACACCGCCCCAGAGGGAGGCTAGAAGAGCAGCACGGCAGGTCACCAAAAAAACACACAGGTTCAAGAGTGAGTCGCTGGAAAACATGTCACAAATTAGGAGACGGGCTGGAACAATTGGACGGTCAGTTTCGGTTAAAGTATTGTTAATTTTCACGATAATCCATTTGGGCAAGTGTCTCTTTTGGCAGGGTCGTGAAGGAAAGGACAATCAGTTTGGACAGGCTCGCAAAAAAACCATTCATCTTAGTAGGGCTGCATTGTATTCGTTCACTCACACATCCTTGGTTTTCAGCCGACCCACCCTATATAATAACCGACCGGCCTCTAATCCCTGCACATGTCACTGAGCGCAACAGTGGCAGCCGATTCAATATCGTAGCTTCCATTGTTTATCAATCTGTCGCTATTTTCAACCCCCGAGTATTTGTTCAGCTGCATGTGGCGAGACATGGACAAGGAGAAGTCAAACCAAACTAAAAGAAAGTCAGAATTAAATCTCCATTGTCCGCTGTACCATTGAGTAAAGGTTCGGATACTTTACACATCATGTTGGTACATGAGTGAGTGAGTGAATCTATTGACGCCGCTTTCAACGCTATTCCAGCCACATCGCGGCGTGGGCCATCAATATTTATTTGTTTGTTTGTGGTTCAACGCCGCACTCAGCAATATTCCAGCTATATGACGGCGGTCTTTAAATAATCGAGTCTGGACCAGACAATCCAGTGACATCATGAGCATCGATTTACGCAATTGGGATACGATGACATGCATTAACCAAGTCAGCGAGCCTGACCACCCGATCCCGTTCGTCGCCTCTTACGACAAGCATAGTCGCCTTTTACGGCAAGCATGGGTTGCCCAAGACGTATTTTACCCCGGATCTTCACGGTGTGAGCCATCAATAATGGGATTGACACGTTGTACCCCTGTGGGTGACGGTGGTACATGAGAAAATATTTTTTAAAAACCCAAACCTAATCCAAATAAACGCCAAGATGATAATGAATGCGTGGCACTTTTTATGGATACCACCTTCTTTATTCTTTGTAACAACGTTTCAGAGAATGTATAAGTACAATAATTTTTGACGCGACGGTAAACCCCATTTCACTACACTCCACCTTCTGAGTTTGTACGTTTTTCGTCACAGAGCACCACCTGAAAACTGCGCCGTGTTTCTTGTCCTTTCATCAAGTGAATTTTATTGATAAAGAAGTGTCGTGTTTCTTGTCCTTTCATCAAGTGAATTTTATTGATAAAGAAGTGTCACGTATTCCTATTCCTACAGCTTCTAACAAAGTTCAAAATGATAAAGCTACAATAATCATTTTAACAAGTCTTGCTCAGTAACAGAGCAATGAAGCATGGTATATTTTTCTCGCCTTTAGTTGTGTTTAAAGATAACAATTTATTCAATTCAAATAGATTTGAAAACCTATGCATGGTATTTGTTCGGTATACCCACATTGTTTTCTTGAGAAAGGCTTTAGGTCTTAAAGGATAGTGAACATCGTTACCACCTTCAGAGGTAATATACACTATACCTATCCTTCATCTCTGTGCGTCTCAACAGTTAGAGGGCGGTGGGGTAGCCTTGTGGTTCAAGCGTGCGTTCGTCACGCCGAAGACCCGGGTTCGAATCCCCACTTGAGTACAATGACTGAAGCCTATTTCTCGTGTCCCCGCCCTGATATTGCTGGAATATTGCTAAAAGCGGTGTAAAACCATACTCACTCACTCACAGTTAGAGTGAGTGAGTTGGGTTTAACGCCGCTTTTAACAGTATTCCAGTTATATCACGGCGTGTCAGTTTAATGTGATGCAGGTCTCAGACATTTACCACTTCGGTGAAACCCACGAGCACGAGTATGGTGCTGACAAACCTAGAAACATAAGTGGGGCGAACCGGGATTCGAACCCACAATCATAGGTTTCTGGCGTGCCCAAGGGTCGCAACTCGTGCCTCCCTCCACAGTTAGAACTTGGTATGTTATATGTACATGGTTGTTGAGCCTGTATTGCTGGACGCTCCAGTCACTGCAGAGTATAAATACATGAATCAACACAGAATCGTTTAAGTCCAACGTTATCTAATCGAGTTTTAATTCTTACCGTGTGTGGCAATGATGCATGATGAAGAAGGTTAGGTGAAATGGTCTTTAACGTCGCGTCCAAGATTATTGCACTTATATAGCGACGTGCATGTACGTGTGTGTGTTTGTGTGGCTGCTTGTACTAGTCCGGACTGATGCCGATTTATAGTGCTAGCCCACTGAGATACCATGCCGCAGTTTAACATGAATACCCCAATCAGACACAGTATACTGACTCCGAGCCGACCAGTCCTTGTTCTAGCCCCTTAATGCCGAGCGCCAGACAGGGTAACAACAAGTACCATCTTTTAACGTCTTTTGGTATGACGTGGTCGGGATCGAACCCCGGACCTTCCTCTCTCCGGGCGGACGCTCTACCACTAGACCACGGAGGCGGTCGCATGATGAAGAATGTGGAGTGTTTTGTGTGACTAAGCAGTTGTAACAATCTGATTTTATGTTTGCATTTACAAACTGTTTAAAACGTGTTAGTTTATAGACTTCAAACTCCATTTCCCAAAAATTTTGGGACGTCAATTTGTATATTAAGATTTATTGACAGCGCTGAATATTATGCTGTAACCCGTGCACTACAAACACTACATTAAACAGCGCTACTTGATCAATGTGATCAATGTACAACATTCATAGTAGTACTTGCCGCGATAACATCACCCAATACATTCGGCGGTAGGTTTCAATAAAGGTGAGGGGAAATGGCGTTTAACGACGCGTCCAAAATTATTGCACTTAAACAGAGACGTGCTTGCACGTGTGTGTGTTGCTGCTTGTACTAGTCCGGCCTGATGCCGATTTATAGTGCTAGCCCACTGAGATACCATGCCGCAGTTTAACATGAATACCCCACTCAGACACAGTATACTGACTCCGTACCGACCAGTCCTTGTTTTAGCCCCTTAATGCCGAGCGCCAGACAGGGTAATAAGTACCATCTTTTAATGTCTTTTGGTATGACGTGGTCGGGGCTCAAAGCCCGGGCCACTTTCCGGGCGCACGTTCTACCACTACAACACGGAGGCGGTCGTCATGTAGTTCAGTCAGTTTGTAAAATAACTGAATATTTAGGCGTTTAATAAATTTCCTAAGTGAGAAAATTGCACTTTTTGACTGTAAAGATATAAACAAGATAAAATAAGCAATGCTCAGGAGAAATATTCACTTCGTGTTGCAAGTCAAAATAGTGTAAACGAAAAATCGCACAATTACCAAGCTAGTGACTTATCAAAACTTCGTCACCATTACCGATGCTACCCACATAGATACCTACATTTTCTTATTATTTCCAAAACTGTATTTCATTTTGTTGATCAATGTGACCGTACGCCCATATACTATCAATAAAAGTGACAAATGCACTTACGAATTGCGCAGCACAGATCGCGAACTAGTCTAGATTTCTGCTATATCATCCGGGTACTCACGGGAAAAAACAATAACAAAGGCAACAACCAGTCCCGGGGAATTACTTTAGATCAGTGCCCCTTTAACTTTGATACTTTGCATTAATTCTTTCTTTGTAATCAATGCAGCTGTTTGCATAGGTGTCAAATAATTACACGTTGTATAACGGTGAGGACCATACATTATCGATTCCTACAGATCGACATTGGACTTGTGCGACATGTGCTGGAGAAATACATATTTATGGCATAGTACACGTCTGTTTGTCTTTCTCGGGGACACATCGAAACAGCGGCCCGCCAACTAGCCACGCCCACTCAGCCACGTGGAGAAACGTCGCTGCCACAGTTACGCGTAATTTGATTGGCTGGTTTGTAGAATGTCGGTATCGACGTCAATGAGGGGTTCCGTGTCACCAACGTCTATACCTTCACTGTGAGTATAAGATTATAATATTATCAGTTTATGTAGCTTGTTCATATATATCTCACCTTGTACCAAGCGAGATTATCACAAAGCGCTGATGTAAGTATTATTTTACACATTATAAGTTTATCTATACATAGAACTACATGTTTGCATATCCTCGTTGGAAATCCTTTCTGATTTTATTCCCTGTATAAGTACAATAACTTGGAACGCGACGCTAAATCCTATTTCACTACACTTCACATTTCTGATTTTTGTATTTTTTTTGTCATAGAGCACCACATTGGATATTATTTCGTGTTTGTTTCCATGATAATTATTTAGTAAGTTTAATGAATGTATTATTCCGATTCTAAATAAACAAAATTCACTTCAGTTAGAGAGTGACACCAGTGTTTGCTTAATGTACCAAATAGATATAGTTTGTGCTCTCAAAGATCCCAATAACGTTGCTCCCGCTGCTATTACTTAATAAAAGTACAGGTAAATCTCATTTTAAACGTATAATCACTTCATATGAACTCAATTCATAGCATGTATATATGTAAAGCATGGACACAAATTTCCAAACACAAAATTGGTCTTAATTTCAGATCGAGTGCCAACCATGTTGAAAGTCCATCTGTTCGTGGCGGTAGTGGTGACTATATTCGCCTTGTCCCAGGCCGCACGACATAAAGTGGGCAGGCTGAAGGGCGTGAGACCAAAAGAAGTCGTCGTCACCGAGCACGTCTACTTCGACATGGTAATTCATAACAACGAGGGGACGGAGCAACTGGAGGGACGTTTCGTTGTCGCCGTATTTGGGGAACTTGCTCCCATGACAGTTCTCAACTTCGTATCCCTGGCTAAAGGGTACAGGCGAGGCAAAGTAAGGAAAGCTCTCCTATTAAAGTCTGTGAAATAATTATGCTAATGAATTCATTTTACAAATGAATAGATGTATTATGTAATGATCGAGTAGTTATGAATGTTCGAACAGTTAATTAATACTAGACATGACACAATGTAGGGTATATTATTAATATTTTCACGTCTATTCTGTGAAATAATAAAGTATTGAATAAATTGTAGAAATGGATACATATATTACTAACGATCGATTAGATACAAATGTTCGAACAGCTGATTAAACAATAGATATGAAATAATGTAAGAATTATCATTCATATTTCACATCTTTCTGTGGAACAATATACTAGAGAATACATTGTAGAAATGAAAATATATGCTACTAACGATCGATTGGATTCGAATGGTCAAACAGCTGATTAAATAATATATATGAAATAATGTGAAAATTATCGTTCATATTTCACATCTTTCTGTGACAAAATACGATATGGAAACATTGTAGAAATGGATAAATATATTACTTACGATGGATTAGCCCGAATGTTCGAATGGTTGAATTAATAATAGATATTAAACAAAGCAGGGTGTATAATTCTCATGTCATACGCCTTTATGTTATAGAACGATCGACATTAGTTAAATTGCAAATAATCAAAGAAGTATCCAATACGGTACACCAGTGTATGTTTATATGACTTATATGTCATATTCATCATTTTACAATTTCATATCTTACCCCTTGCGGTGTTTGTGTCAATTTATTTTTATTCATTTGAAAGAAATGTATTATGGTGATATTACAGAACGCTGAGAATAGGTATACATTCACTACATGCAAACTCGATAAAAATTCTTATTTTTCTCTCGAGAATATATTTAAGAGTTATAATATAAAATTAAAACACGAACAAAATCAATTTGGATGTAAATGATAAGATTTCTTAGTCTCATATTCGTCACAATAATCGTGATATATTCATATCCTGTTGTACTGATGCACGTCGTTTCCTTTATTCGATAAATTTCACTAGTCAAATACACCATTCAAGAAAGACATTCCATAATGCCGGCCGGCTTCCATTGTCGTGGAATCAATGGTTCGAGTCACAGATGTGAAGTTTCAAAAGTCAGCATCGATCACTCTGAATGCATGCCACGTTCACCGCGTGCCTCGTGGATACACGTATGCTATCTTACACGTTGGCACTCTACGACACTACCAACCAAAATGAGTACTTTTATTAATCATGTCAATTTAAGAGGAAATATGCCAATGAAAACTTGATGGAACATTTTGAAACTATGCTACGACAAAGCACTGCTTCGTCCCATGTATAACATCACGTGTTTCGTCTGGTAATATTGACCTAACTTCTCCTGGATCAGTTACGTATATTGAACCGTCTTTCCCGTGGAATCGTTTTTCGTGTATTAGTTTCAGCGGCCACATGTTGCCAACTCGCTACGGCGTTAACATGTGTATTTGGGGGATTTTTGTGTAAACGCGAAATGGATAAAACATATCTTAATATATTTTTCACTTTACAAAGTTGAATAACAGTGTATATATAACATGGTTCAGATTAAGAACTGACGACGTTTGAATGTTTGATTAATACTGTTTATCTCTGTATGGGTATGCGGGGTAGTCTTGTGGTCAACTCGTTGGCCGGTAGCACCGAAGACCCGTGGTCGAATGCCCGCATCGGAACAGTTAACGAAGCAAATTGTTGGAGCCCCCGCCGTGATTTGGATGTTAAATTGTTAAACGGTGTAATGCTCACCCATTAATATGTGTTTCTGTACCTCTAGCACAATCACACACACTCACCCAAACCGTCTAGATCATGCTCACACACTCGACCAACCATCTAGTTCATGCTCACATACTCACTACACCGTCTAATTCATGCCCACACACTCACAACGCCATCTAGTTCATGCTCACACAATCACCCAAACCGTCTAGTTCATGCTCACACACTCACCACGCCATCTAGTTCATGCTCACATACTCACAACGCCATCTAGTTCATGCTCACATACTCACCCAACCATCTAGTTCATGCTCTAACACTCACTACACCGTCTAGTTTATGCCCACACACTCACCACGCCATCTAGTTCATGCCCACACACTCACCCAACCGTCTAGTTCATGCTCACACACCCATCACGCCATGTAGTTCATGCTCACATACTTACCCCACCGTCTAGTCCATGCTCACATACTCACCCAACCATCTAGTTCATGCCCACACACTCAACACGCCATCTAGTTCATGCACACACACTCAACACGCCATCTAGTTCATGCTCACACACCCACCACGCCATCTAGTTCATGCACACACACTCACCACGCCATCTAGTTAATGCTCGCACACTCACCCAACCGTCTAGTTCATGCTCACACACTCACCACGCCATCTAGTTCATGCTCACACACTCACCACGCCATCTAGTTCATGCTCACACACTCACCACGCCATCTAGTTAATGCTCGCACACTCACCCAACCGTCTAGTTCATGCCCACACACTCACCACGCCATCTAGTTAATGCTCGCACACTCACCCAAACGTCTAGTTCATGCTCACACACTCACCCCACCATCTAGTCCATGCCCACACACTCACCCAACCGTCTAGTTCATGCTCACACACTCACCCCACCATCTAGTTCATGCCCACAAACTCACTACACCGTCTAGTTCATGCTCACACACTCACCCCACCGACTAGTCCATGCCCACACACTCACTACACCGTCTAGTCAATGCCCACACTCACTACACCGTCTACTCCATGCTCACACACTCACTACACCGTCAAGTCCATGCTCACACACTCACCTCGCCATCTAGTTCATGCCCACACACTCAATACAGCGTCTAGTCCATGCTCACACACTCACTTCACCGTCTAGTTCATGCTCACACACTTACTACACCGTCTAGTCCATGCTCACACACTCACTTCACCGTCTAGTCCATGCTCACACACTCACTACACCGTCTAGTTCATGCCCACACACTCACTTCACCGTCTAGTTCATGCTCACACACTCACTACATCGTCTAGTCCATGCTCACACACTCACTTCACCGTCTAGTTCATGCCCACACACTCACTTCACCGTCTAGTCCATGCTCACACACTCACTTCACCGTCTAGTCCATGCTCACACACTCACTTCACCGTCTAGTTCATGCCCACACACTCACTACATCGTCTAGTCCATGCCCACACACTCACTACATCGTCTAGTCCATGCTCACACACTCACTTCACCGTCTAGTTCATGCTCACACACTCACTTCACCGTCTAGTTCATGCCCACACACTCACTACATCGTCTAGTCCATGCTCACACACTCACTTCACCGTCTAGTCCATGCTCACACACTAACTTCACCGTCTAGTTCATGCCCACACACTCACTACATCGTCTAGTCCATGCTCACACACTCACTACACCGTCTAGTCCATGCTCACACACTCACCTCGCCATCTAGTTCATGCTCACATACTCACTTCACCGTCTAGTCCATGCTCACACACTTACTACACCGTCAAGTTCATGCTCACACACTCACTTCACCGTCTAGTCCATGCTCACACACTCACTTCACCGTCTAGTCCATGCTCACACACTTACTACACCGTCTAGTTCATGCCCACACACTCACTACACCGTCTAGTTCATGCTCACACACTCACTACATCGTCTAGTCCATGCTCACACACTCACTACATCGTCTAGTTCATGCCCACACACTCACTACACCGTCTAGTCCATGCTCACACACTCACTTCACCGTCTAGTCCATGCTCACACACTCACTACATCGTCTAGTCCATGCTCACACACTCACTTCACCGTCTAGTCCATGCTCACATACTCACCCCACCATCTAGTCCATGCTCACACACTCACTACATCGTCTAGTCCATGCTCACACACTCACTACACCGTCTAGTCCATGCTCACACACTCACTTCATCGTCTAGTCCATGCCCACACACTCACTACACCGTCTAGTCCATGCTCACATACTCACCCCACCATCTAGTCCATGCTCACACACTCACTACATCGTCTAGTCCATGCTCACACACTCACTACATCGTCTAGTCCATGCTCACACACTCACTACACCGTCTAGTCCATGCTCACACACTCACTTCACCGTCTAGTCCATGCTCACACACTCACTTCACCGTCTAGTTCATGCCCACACACTCACTACACCGTCTAGTTCATGCTCACACACTCACTACACCGTCTAGTTCATGCTCACACACTCACTACATCGTCTAGTCCATGCTCACACACTCACTTCACCGTCTAGTCCATGCTCACACACTCACTTCACCGTCTAGTTCATGCTCACACACTCACTTCACCGTCTAGTTCATGCTCACACACTCACTTCACCGTCTAGTCCATGCTCACACACTCACTACACCGTCTAGTTCATGCTCACACACTCACTTCACCGTCTAGTCCATGCTCACACACTCACTTCACCGTCTAGTTCATGCTCACACACTCACTTCACCGTCTAGTTCATGCTCACACACTCACTTCACCGTCTAGTTCATGCTCACACACTCACTTCACCGTCTAGTTCATGCTCACACACTCACTTCACCGTCTAGTCCATGCTCACACACTCACTACACCGTCTAGTTCATGCTCACACACTCACTACACCGTCTAGTCCATGCTCACATACTCACCCAACCATCTAGTTCATGCCCACACACTCAACACGCCATCTAGTTCATGCACACACACTCAACACGCCATCTAGTTCATGCTCACACACCCACCACGCCATCTAGTTCATGCTCACACACTCACCACGCCATCTAGTTAATGCTCGCACACTCACCCAACCGTCTAGTTCATGATCACACACTCACCACGCCATCTAGTTCATGCTCACACACTCACCACGCCATCTAGTTCATGCTCACACACTCACCACGCCATCTAGTTAATGCTCGCACACTCACCCAACCGTCTAGTTCATGCCCACACACTCACCACGCCATCTAGTTAATGCTCGCACACTCACCCAAACGTCTAGTTCATGCTCACACACTCACCCCACCATCTAGTCCATGCCCACACACTCACCCAACCGTCTAGTTCATGCTCACACACTCACCCCACCATCTAGTTCATGCCCACAAACTCACTACACCGTCTAGTCCATGCTCACACACTCACCTCACCGACTAGTCCATGCCCACACACTCACTACACCGTCTAGTCCATGCTCACACACTCACCTCGCCATCTAGTTCATGCTCACACACTCACCCCACCATCTAGTTCATGCCCACACACTCAATACAGCGTCTAGTCAATGCCCACACTCACTACACCGTCTAGTTCATGCTCACACACTCACTACACCGTCAAGTTCATGCTCACACACTCACTTCACCGTCTAGTTCATGCTCACACACTTACTACACCGTCTAGTTCATGCCCACACACTCACTACACCGTCTAGTTCATGCTCACACACTCACCCCACCATCTAGTCCATGCTCACACACTCACTACACCGTCTAGTCCATGCTCACATACTCACCCCACCATCTAGTCCATGCTCACACACTCACTACACCGTCTAGTTCATGCTCACACACTCACTACACCGTCTAGTCCATGCTCACACACTCACTACACTGTCTAGTTCATGCTCACACACTCACTACACCGTCTAGTCCATGCTCACACACTCACTTCACCGTCTAGTTCATGCTCACACACTCACTACACTGTCTAGTTCATGCTCACACACTCACTACACCGTCTAGTCCATGCTCACACACTCACTTCACCGTCTAGTTCATGCTCACACACTCACTACACCATCTAGTTCATGCTCACACACTCACTACACCGTCTAGTTCATGCCCACACTCACTACACTGTCTAGTTCATACTCACACACTCACTACACCGTCTAGTTCAAGCCCACACACTCACTACGCCATCTAGTTCATGCTCACACACTCACCCAACCGTCTAGTTCATGCGCACACACTCACTACACCGTCTAGTCCATGCTCAAACACTTACCCCACCGTCTAGTTCATGCCCACACATTCACATTCTACCTGTAGGATACTCACACATTCACACACGTGTTTCTCTACCTGTAGGATACTCACACATTCACACACCTGTTTCTCTATCTGTAGGATACTCACACATTCACACACGTGTTTCTCTACCTGTAGGATACTCACACATTCACACACGTGTTTCTCTACCTGTAGGATACTCACACATTCACACACGTGTTTCTCTACCTGTAGGATACTCACACATTCACACACGTGTTTCTCTACCTGTAGGATACTCACACATTCACACACGTGTTTCTCTACCTGTATGATACTCACACATTCACACACCTGTTTCTCTACCTGTAGGATACTCACACATTCACACACGTGTTTCTCTACCTGTAGGATACTCACACATTCACACACGTGTTTCTCTACCTGTAGGATACTCACACATTCACACACGTGTTTCTCTACCTGTAGGATACTCACACATTCACACACGTGTTTCTCTACCTGTAGGATACTCACACATTCACACACGTGTTTCTCTACCTGTAGGATACTCACACATTCACACACGTGTTTCTCTACCTGTAGGATACTCACACATTCACACACGTGTTTCTCTACCTGTAGGATACTCACACATTCACACACGTGTTTCTCTGCCTGTAGGATACTCACACATTCACACACGTGTTTCTCTGCCTGTAGGATACTCACACATTCACACACGTGTTTCTCTGCCTGTAGGATACTCACACATTCACACACCTGTTTCTCTACCTGTAGGATACTCACACATTCACACACGTGTTTCTCTACCTGTAGGTTACTCACACATTCACACACGTGTTTCTCTACCTGTAGGATACTCACACATTCACACACCTGTTTCTCTACCTGTAGGATACTCACACATTCACACACGTGTTTCTCTACCTGTAGGATACTCACACATTCACACACCTGTTTCTCTACCTGTAGGATACTCACACATTCACACACGTGTTTCTCTACCTGTAGGATACTCACACATTCACACACCTGTTTCTCTACCTGTAGGATACTCACACATTCACACACGTGTTTCTCTACCTGTAGGATACTCACACATTCACACACCTGTTTCTCTACCTGTAGGATACTCACACATTCACACACGTGTTTCTCTACCTGTAGGATACTCACACATTCACACACCTGTTTCTCTACCTGTAGGATACTCACACATTCACACACGTGTTTCTCTACCTGTAGGATACTCACACATTCACACACGTGTTTCTCTACCTGTAGGATACTCACACATTCACACACCTGTTTCTCTACCTGTATGATACTCACACATTCACACACCCGTTTCTCTACCTGTAGGTTACTCACACATTCACACACGTGTTTCTCTACCTGTATGATACTCACACATTCACACACGTGTTTCTCTACCTTTATGATACTCACACATTCACACACGTGTTTCTCTGCCTGTAGGATACTCACACATTCACACACGTGTTTCTCTACCTGTAGGATACTCACACATTCACACACCTGTTTCTCTACCTGTATGATACTCACACATTCACACACGTGTTTCTCTACCTGTAGGATACTCACACATTCACACACGTGTTTCTCTACCTGTAGGATACTCACACATTCACACACGTGTTTCTCTACCTGTAGGATACTCACACATTCACACACGTGTTTCTCTACTTGTAGGATACTCACACATTCACACACGTGTTTCTCTACCTGTAGGATACTCACACATTCACACACGTGTTTCTCTGCCCGTAGGATTTCCTGACGTACAACCGGACACGGATCCACCGTATTGTCCCCGACTTCGTTGTCCAGATGGGAGACGTAGAACACAAGCAGGGACTTGGAGGTAAGTTCATTCATGGAAAACGAATATAGCCTTGCTTAAAATAATCGATAATCCGAAAAAAAACCAACAATGAAATATATATAAATGAGAATGCCCTGAATGGCGATATGTTAATATTTTAACACCTCACCACGGGACCGCCTCCGCCTAGTGCTTTCCATATTTATACCTGATGTCGTCACTCACTGATTTTCAGTGATCCTTTCTTATAAGTTTCACCGCTATTTTGCCTTTTACGCCCAATGCAATCTGTTTCGTCGATGTATCGTCATTGACGTTTATATGGCTTAGTTATTCATACTGTTTCATTGTTGCAGGAACAAGTATCTATGGTGACACATTCCGTGACGAGGAATTCATCATGAGCCACAGTTCCTCAGGGATGGTTTCAATGGCCAATGCAGGAGAGGACACGAACAAGTCTCAGTTCTTCATTACATTACAGAAGGCGAGATGGCTTGATGGCCACCATGTTGTGTTTGGCAAGGTTATTGCAGGAATGGTGAGTAATCTTGTCAACAAGCATCTAAAGCTACGGTGAAGTCTTTAAAATGATAAGATGATCTACATCTGCGCTCCCCGGGTCCGTGAGTGGAAGTTATGGCACAGCGTGCTTCGTCTTTCCATCCTTATCCGTTCGACTTCTTCACGAACCGGCTCAAAGGATGAAACAGTAGTGGAATTCAGATTTGATCACTCTCTTTACCCTTTACCTACTGGCCCGTGAAGACCCGGGGTAGAATAGGTCTTCAGCAACCCATGCTTGCCGTAAAAGGCGACTATGCTTGTCGTTAGAGGCGACGGGAGGATCGGGAGGTCAGGCTCGCTGACTTGGTTGATGCATGTCATCGTATCCCAATTGCGTGGATCGATGCTCATGATATTAATCACTGGATTGTCTGGTCCAGACACGATTATTTACAGACCGTCGTCATATAGCTGGAATATTGCTGAGTGCGGCGTTAAACAACAAACCAACCAACCTTTAGTTACTTTAAAACAAAACTAAAAAATGTTGAAACATCTGTGAGACTCTTCTTCATCAGATAGAGCAGGCCTTGGTATTATTTGCAGCCGCAAACCATGGAACTTTATAGTAATAAAATAATCACTTCTTTCGTGGGGGATAGGAACCGATTTTAAAATGCTTCTGAATTAATCTTCTTCTAAAGTCGTGAAAGTTGTAACCCGATGAGACTCCTGTATTTTGTCATTTGGAAATAGTTGATGGCTGAATATTTGAGCTCTCGCTCAGAATACTCACGGTGTGCATTAGTAATTACAAGAAAAAAACATTCCACGATTGGTTCGGTGAACCAATTATTTTTTTTAATGCCCAAGCGATTCCAGTCAGCTGTATATTGCTTCTTGTGCTGTTGATTTGAGTAGAGGGTTTGTATTGACATGACCATAATCTGTAATGTTTGTTTTTGGGGGTTTAACAGGACATAATTGAAAAGATTGGCGAGATTAAGAGCTACAACACTGGTGACCCCAAGAAGCCCGTGATGGTGGCGAACTGCGGAGTCGAGGGACTAAGCTCCAAGTACGAGGTCACCCTGGAACAGGTCGACAAGGACTCACAGAGCTTCCGCAAGGAAGACTTCGCACCGATGCACGAAGAGGATGAAGACAGTCACTAAGCAGCCCAAGTACAGACACCCGGCACCATAGTAACAACTGTTTGGCGCCGTTTAACAAAAAGACAATTCGTAATCACCCGTGTCATTCCGGAACAAGGTTACGGAAAGGGTCGAGAGGTGACGAATGAAATCGGTCTTCGACTCATTCGTCTCCACACTCATCTTTCCGAATCCTACAAAAATGTCATTCGGTTTGTCCCGGAATGACACGAGTTGTCACGGAAAACTACAATTATCGCAACTTTCATACTGTATATATCATGGAATGGGATTTACGACAACCGTACGGCTTCGTGAAACACAAATGAGAGAGCCAAAGAAGATAGACACTCGAAAGTCTTCATTTCTGATTTGAAAATACGCGGCGCCAAGTGTCTGCGTCCACACGCTTGCTCTGTTTCATTCTAATGTGTTACCATTGTCCAGTGTGAAGGTGTGCGTTTCAAACATGGGTCTCATGTCGGATTGTGGTACACGGTCCACAATCTAACATGTACGCTCATCTACGCTCATCAAGGCTAATACTTGTTGTTTGTCTCTCTTAAGGAGACGAGCTCTTATTTAGAAATATAGTGTAGCTTACGGTCTATAGAACGGGCCATGTTACTCTGAAAGCTGAACTTACACTATTGAGTCGGAAATAGGGTCTAGTTGTATCCACGTAAAATAGGTTTGAGTTTCCATGGAAAATGTCATATGTATCTGGAGTGAATGTTTTGATAATATGTACATGTACCCGAATAATAAAGTTTTATAAATATCCCAGGTGTTATTTAGTTGCGCTTGTACTCGTAACACACAGTCAACATGTCGTTATTAGTTTCAACAAAGTCTGTAAACGCGCTGAAGTGTCACTGGATCGTCTGGTCCACTGTCACTGGATCGTCTGGTCTAGACCCGATTGTTTCCAGGCCATTGTCGTGTGGCAGGAATACTGCTGTGTGGCGTCAGCCCAGAAACACTGACTTTTTATGCAAGTTGTGTGAGGGGTGATACCGGTCGTGCCTGACATGCTAACCCTTTTTGTGAACACCTGGCGTCATCAGTGATTTTCATGTACATTTCACCAGTATTCTATAATCACGTGATGGGGGAAAAGGAGATCTTTTCACGAGTGGCTCCTGGGGCGGTCGGGTACCCTATAGGTTACAGCGTTCGCTCGTCACGCCAAAGACCCGGGTTCGATTCCCGACATGGGTACAATGTGTGAAGCCCATTTCTGGTGTCCCCCGCCGTGATATTGCTGGAATATTGCTAAATATGGCGTAAAACCATACTCACTCATTACTCACGTGAGTGACGGCAGAGCCACTCGTGAAAATATCTCCCCTTCCCCCATCAAGAGATGAGAGAAACATGATATTTCACTCGACATATGAAATATCCTCTATAAACGCGACCCACAGCATAATCCAATTGAGTTTAACAGAATAATGATTCAAACACGTCAAAAGTTTACACGTATTCATTTAATACCATGCAACGGCCCACCTTTAGAATTTAGGGATCGGTTCCACAATGCTATCGTATCGCTAAAGTTATCGTAACTCCCATACTATTACATAGAGGATATTATATGAGTATATCATGTCGTACTATGTTCTAGTGGACAACTACACAAATAAAAGATTATATAATAAATAGGTTATTCGCTCGGGAAATACCGTAACTAAGACACTCGTGTCGTATACATAGTATGACATGAACACTCATATAATATCTGCACCACTAAATTAACAATCACGTCACAATATCCTATGACGTAATTTATAGAATTTTGTTGCGAGAACCACCAGCGAAATAATGCCATGTGACGTCAGCCAAGCCTTGGGTCATCGGTGATCTATCATCTCTACACGCAATGTCGTTGAATAAGCCCAGGGATGTTGGAAGTTTTCAATATTTTGTTAGTGAAACCTGTTCCCGCAGCACAGAAGCACTCGCTTTGTTATTACACATTGTGTCATACAGCTGCAAGGTTATTAGTGAGTGAGTAAGTTGGGTTTAACGCCGTTTTTATCAGTATTCCAGTTATATCACGGCGTGTCAGCTTAATGTGTGAGGAAAGCCCGAAGTGATGCAGGTCTTAGACGTTTACCACTTCGGTGAAACCCACGAACACGGGTATGGTGCTGACAAACCTAGAAACATAATCGGGGCGAACCGGGATTCGAACCCACAATCATAGGTTCCTGGCGTGCCCAAGGGACGCAACTCTGCACAGCGAATCGCGGCGCCTTCTTTAAAGACGACTGGGTCACCCCTGCCCCTGCAAGGTTATTAAACGGGTGATCTCTTCATGGGCGAGAATAAATTATTATATGTAGAGAAATGCGGCACTGATTAGAGAGTGAGTGAGTTAGGTTTAACGTCGCTTTAAACGATATTTCAGTAATATCACAGCGTGTCAGCCTGTAGCGGGAGGAAAGCCTGAAGTGATGCAGGTCTCAGACGTTTACCACTTTGGTGAATCCAGTGAGTGCTGGTTTTATGCCTAACAGATACTAGTACATTAGGAACAATATTAAAATTATATATGACACTTTGCTTTTCACAGGATCCCACAGTGTACCGGGAAAGCTATATAGGGTAGATTTTGTCAAGGATTTTGATTCTGTTCCTTTGTATTTCATACAAAAACTCAAAAGATGGATAGAATTTTTTTATACTGACATAAAATTCTGTATCTTAATGAATCTTCATCTTCATTTGATGTTTCCAGAGGCTGTTGGCAAGGTGACCCCTTGTGTCCCGACATATTTCTTCTTTGTGTAGAAATATTGGCTGATATGGTGCGTAATAATAACATCAAGGGTATAAGTGTTAATAAATATAACACTGAATATCTTATTTCTCAATATGCTGATGACACCGATTTTATTCTTGATGGAAGTGACTCATATCTTGAAGCTGTTGTTGAAACCATGGATATTTTTGCTGGTATTAAAAAACAATTATGACAAATCTCAAATGGTATGGATTGGCTCCATGAAAACCAGTTATGTTAGATATTTACCACACATTGATTTCAACTGGAACCCCCCAACTTTTAAAGTTCTTGGTATTTTGTTCAGAACTTCAGAAATCAAAACTTTATGAACTGAAACAAATAATAAATCAATGGATAAACCTAATTCTAACCCAAATTGGAAACATTGCCCTAATTAAGTCATTATTAATTTCCAAACTTAATTATCTGTTTTTAACTCTTCCAACTCCTCCTGAAGCCTTTCTCAAAGAATTAAACAAGATGTTAAATTTTGTGTCGAATCAGAAACCAGACAGGATAAAAAGAGAAATATTATTTGGACCCTTTCTGGAAGATGGACTGGGTTTGATTTATATATTTGAATACATAAGTTTTGAAGGTAACATGGATGAGAAAATTTGCTCTTCATGATCCAAAGTGGAAAAGTATTCTAAGTGCCAGCTGCTCTAAATGTAAGGAATTTAATCAACATGGATGTGGATTTCTCAAGAGAATACTTAAGGACCTGGGTCCACTTGCACAAAGCGATCTTAGCGCTAAGATGATCGTTACTCCCATACTTAAACATAGGCTTACGATAGTCTTAGCACTAAGATCGCTTTGTGCAAGTGGGCCCTGAACAACCCTTTCTGGAGGGAGTGCTTCAATGTCTTCTATGACTTTCCAATAGAGGTGATTTTTTTTCAAGATTTCTTGTCTGAGCATATTTTTTATAATATTAACATCAAAGTAAAGAAGAAAACATTTCTTTTAGAATCATGGTTTCATAAAGGTATTTCCCAGATATGTGATGTTGTCAATGAAAACTGATGATTTTAACAGTATGTATCACCTGAAGACCTCGTTCACAGTTTATGACATGGTTGTCAGGAAGATGTTATCACATTCATAACCTTAATCTTACATTAGAATTAATCATTTTTGGTTGTAGAAAGGATGTTATGATTGAGGCTGTGTTTGATCTCTTCATCATCTCATAAAATATTTCTTGCATAAAAAATGACCTACCATGTTTTGTACATTTTAAGAACGATTTAAAAATGAGAAACTATATTGAAAAGACGTGATTCATTTTTGTAAAAATGGTTTTAATGAGGTTTTTTGACTAAATGGGCAATGTATCATGATTTATTCGAATAACAACACATACATGTACTAATAACCACTTTATTAGAGAAGCTGTTATAACATTTTGCATTATAATGTTATGAATTAACCCTGATCTAATATGTGTGAATGGTGATTGTATGTCTTTGTGTTGTCTTGTATTAAAAAAAAAACTCCCCCAAAAAACCTGTATCTTGATTTGAAGTTCTACATGTTTTTTGTTTTCTCATGTTTAGCTCTGAAGTTCACCTGGCTACAGAGATATATATGTAACAGGGATACGGAATAAAAAAAATATCAATTAAAAAAAAAATAAGTGAAACCCGCAAACGGGGGTTTATAGTGAGTCAACGTCATAATCGGAATTTGGGATTCATACTCAGGACAAGTTGCATCGTGAACGTATGGATCACAACCCTGCACTGCTAGTTGCGGCGCTTTAGATCACTGCAAATCTTGGATTCGAACCCACTATTCGCAAATCCTTGCATAGCTAATGAACTCCGCACAGCGCAGTGCGTGGCCCTGGACAACAGGACCACCCGTGCGCCTCCATATATGGAAGCACTATACTTCTTGTTACCCTGCCTGCCGGAAAGCCCGAAGTGATGCAGTTTACCACTTCGGTGAAACCCACGAGCATGCGTAAGGTGCTGACAAACCTAGAAACATAATCGGGGCGAACCGGGATTCGAACGCACAATCATAGGTTTCTTGCGTGTCCAAGGGACGCAACTCTGCACAGCGAATCGCGGCGCCTTAGACGACTGGGCCACCCGTGACCCCTCAATATGTAATGAAGTGAAACATTAAACATATATTTACGTAAAACTGGTTTATTCAACTGAGTAAAACAAGGAAACACGTTCACACAGGCTATAGTTTTACGGTTTGAACTGTACAGAGAACATATACACACACATCTATAGTTACATTCAACTGCTGGTTAAGTATATTGGCCGCAGAGAGAACCTTTGCTTCAAAGGTTATACAACACGCACACAAACTGAAAACACAGTGAAATGACGTACTGTGTCCTAACACAGAATGACTATACAAAAACAGAGGAGAGAAACAGGATTACTATGTAAAGTGCTGAACGATGATCAGATGCAGTAACTACACGTGTTGCTAATCAAGACTATCTGTTCTCGGATTGGTTGTTCCTACGTGTGTAGCGCCATCAATGCGACGTCTTGTCGACGTTATTGCGTAACACTATATGACGTCATGATATGATGTGATGATTGTCAACAGAACGTGTGTTTACGCCTTGCTGGGATCATCAGACAAGAGGACTTTTTCTGGGAGCTCGTATTTCTGTTCCAAGTGCTCGACGCTGCAGTCAGCAATGCGAACCTTCTGCTTGGGGACAGCCCTATCCTTGAATGGACCCATTGTGTTGATGTCTTCCAAGACGTCCTATAAAAAAAGAAAGTGATTTATTAACACCTTGGTTAAGGTAGGGCACACGGAAATTATGTATGACCTATGAACAGATAACATTTGCCAATTACTGCTATCAACAGTTTACTATTTTCTAATTTTGTTCACAAAAGCCTTTAGCTTAAAGCGATGCTGACGAACCAGTCGATCCCCTTTTTGGTCAAGAATGTGTCATTATGGAAGTACTCATCCCCGAAATTATGAGTGAGCTGCCTAGGGGTTGGTTCCAGTGGACATGGCTAACGGAACTGAATACTACATAGCACTGAGTGGGCTTCGGCTTGGCCAGTCGTCCAAGGCGCTGCAATTCGCTGTGCCAGAAACCTGATGATGTTTCTAGGCTTGTCAGCACCATACCCGTGCTCTTAATCTTAGCCAAAGAGGAAAACGCCTAAGGCTTGTATCATTTCGGGCTTAACTTCAACGTTAAACTGACTGGATTGTCTGGTTCAGACTCTATTATTTACAGTCAGCCGGCATATAGCTGGAATATTACTGAACAAATAAAACATGTAATACTGTTCAAGGCGGCGTTAAACTCCCTCCATCCCTCCCTCGCTGTAGCATATGTCCCTAGTTCGGATCAATCTAATACTTCTAAATGGTGCGATGGATATTTTCTTTAGTCTTACCATGCCTTCCAAGACTTTTCCGAAGGCGACGTGACTACCGTCAAGGTAACGAGCTCTGCCGAAAAGGATAAAGAACTGGGATCCGTTGGTGTCCTTGCCGTGGTTGGCCATGGAGACGATGCCGGCGGTGGCGTGGCTGACCTTGAAGTTCTCGTCAACAAATCTTTCACCGAAGATGCTGCGTGCTGTGATAGATAACATATACACTGATGTAGAATTGATGTAAGACTCGCAGATCCATAAGATCCATAAGATATTGTTGTCAGCGGCCAAAGAGGTGTTTATGCATTACACTGTCCCTCGAAACAATTTCGAAACGAAATAGGATAGTTTGTTGGTGTGTGGATTAACGCCGCACTCAGCAATATTCCATCTTTATGACGGCTGTCTGTAAATAATCGAGTCTGGACCAGACAATCCAGAGACTTATACCAGGAGATCGATCCACGCAATTGGGATCGATGACATGCATCAACCAAGTCAGCGAGCCTGACCACCCGATCGCCTTTTACGGCAAGCATGGGTTGCTGAAGGTCTATTCTACCCCGAATCTTCACGGTCAACGAAATAAGTCAGCCATGTGTGTGGGTTTGTTAAAATGGTTTCATGCTATGTTTTTTGCAGCCATGTCATTATGAACCGCAGCAGATCAATCAGTGTGGCGGTACACTCTGCCGGCAATGTTCCTGTACTATCACGGCAGGGGGCACAAGAATGGGTTTCAAACACCAACTTCTTTGGGGATTCGACATCGGGTTTTCGGCGTGGCGAATGAACGCTTTAATAACTTGGCTTACTACAGCCACGATAAGTGACGATCTCATAACAATCAGATCTTAGATTTCATGATATTGAACACTTACATCCAGTACCGTCGCCGCTGATGATGTCACCGCATTGGACCAACATGTCTTTCACAAGTCTGTGGCATTGAGTATTTTTGTACTGAAGGCGGGCTTTCTGCAATACAATGTAAAACATGTTAGGAAAATAACTTATCCAAATCAACGCCGATTACACTTAATTACAACGTCAATGCTGAATGACACAAGGTCGAAGGCCTGAAAGCATTGCAAATTGTCAGCGGCAATAATTCGACAAAATACTAACCCCATCTCTCTTGATCCCCTCGCAGATGCTGCCAAAGTTGAGTGTGGTCATGGGAACAATATCTCCGAACAGACCAATCTTGACGTCACCTCTCAATGTCTCGCCTTCGCCGTCCCAGTTCTTAACTTCAAACGTCAGGGTGGCGACGCTTGTGACCACGTGGGGTTCAGTTGAGCCTTTCTTCTTTTTATCACCACTGTCACAGACGCAGCTAGCCACCAACGCAGCGAGGACACACAATTGCAGCTTCATGATTCTGGTACTGGGGAAAAGAAAGATTCAGATGTTATTTGCATGTTAACGTAAAAGGGACTATCATCAGAAGATATCCTGCTTTCTTTGTTATTAAACGTCAACCTGCGCTGTTCCAGGACAACTGGCGGATTGTACATGGTTGAGTCTAGACCAGACATACTGATCAATACCTATAAGCAACTTCTTATGCCGTCGGGGTACAATGACACACCAAGACCACCCGATCCGCGTTGTCGACTCACCCGACAAGCATATACGTTACTGGGGATCTATTCTCACCCGGGACTCACCATGGTCCCTATCACTGACTATGTAACCATGTGAAATTGAAGGGAGCTTTGTCATAGATGTAAACATAAAAGGTCACCACCGCCAGAGAATAACCTGTCGCGATTATCCGACAGAACAGCTTCCATTGGGCGTAAAAGGCAAAACAGCGTTGAAAATTATATGAATGGATCACTGAAAATCAGTGATGACACGTGTTCGGTACCATTGTGACCACCCAATAACCCCTTACGACAGTGTTTACTTTAACATTCATCAAGGATACCTTCCCTGGTAACATTGGACGCCGCACTCAGCAATATTCCAGCTATATGACGGCGGTCTGTAAATAATCGAGTCTGGACCAGACAGTCCGGTGATTGATATCATGAGCATCGATCCACGCAATTTGGATACTTTGACATGCATCAACCAAGTCAGCGAGCCTTAACACCCGATCCCGTTCGTCGCCTCTCACGACAAGCATAGTCGCCTTTTACGGCAAGCATGAGTTGATGAAGACCTATTCTACCCCGGATCTTCACGGGTATCATGGTCGTAATATACTGTATTAGCAGGGGTGGCAGGGTTCTGCTGGATGTACAGGAACCTCGGAAAGTATTCTATATGTGTGGTACAACAGGGCGCAATTCGTAAACGTTTAGCACTTTGGTAATCCACACTGATATTAGTGTAACACTTAGAGAACATTGACGATAATCGGGGCGCATCTATGATTCGACCCACGACCATGTATCATGGTACGGTTGAGGCAGACAAGTTCAGAAAACTGATACCGAGTATTGGTTCCTTTATTAAACCAAGGGACAACCTGTTCCTCCCGACACAAGAACAAACAAACAAATTTGGAAAATATTCACCGTGAACGTGAACAGTAATAGTGGCAAGATGTTAGAAGTGTGTGGCGGAACACTGAATGCATTGCGGTTTTCATTGACTATACAAGAATGTACCAGAACTATGACCTCGTGAGAATTATCCTATTTCAGATCAATGAAGTTCTGGTAACACGTGGCGGCGACACAGCAACGCTATGTCGATTAATGTTCTGCCCCAATCAATGCCGTCAGTGTGACATTCGGGTGCTAGAGGTAGCCAATACTGTTTGTGATTGGATTAAACTTGCCACGCAAACTTGCCATAACGTTACGCGTTAAGCTTTGCCACGTGTGAGTATGTTCTTAGGTCAATGTCTTGAAATTTGACGACGTGCACAAGTTTCATTAACCCAAACTGTCATGACACGTTTTCAAAAGTATATAGCTTGTTACTTTCATCACACCTCCGTTCTTTGGCATTTTCGTAATCTTTCCAAAATTTGTATTCGTCAACGCTAAATACGTATACGAAGAGAAGTACAATGTATCTCGTATTAATAAATACGGGAGATAGAATTTGTCGAGATTGAAATCGTACATCACACATAATATTTCACCAAACACTTATATATGTACATGCATATATGCATATATAACCAAATCATATATGGTACTTGTAGTATTTTTGGTCAGTGGAAACTTGATACCCCTTTGTAACATGCTAGATTTCCCCCGTGACGTGTAATCTTCATTTTGAAGTATGAAACAAGCTCTATTGGTATTCGCGTTTAGTTGTCTGATATTTTAACCATTACACAGAGCTGTTTTCATTTAACATTGGCATTGTACTTGGCAAACATGCAGATTGGGTGTCAGAAGGTTTCATTGTTGGACAATTATCAGTTCTGTTATTACAATAAACACCTAAAATCATACCTTGAAATAATTTTAAAGTTTTTAAAATAAATTAACCGATAACTGACTATAACTTCGTTCTTTCCCGCAACAGACAGGTTAACGCGTTTACCTGAAGCTTGACACTACCCTGTTCTATAGTAAAATGCCAGAATCTTTTTCTTCCAAACCACATGACGAAAACGAACGAATTATTTAGAAAACATTTTCTGATGAACAATGCACAAGGTTAGAGAGGGAAAGAAAAGACTTGCTTCTTACCTTTTTGACTTTTCCTCTGCAAGTGCTATCACAAGAATACGTGCTGAGATCTACAGCATCAGACCTTTTAAAGCATGTCCGTGCCACGAAACAGACGACAGTATCGACCAATCAGAGAGCGCGGTGCGTACAACGGACGAATCAGAAAGCAGCCAACTGGAGGCCGCGATCGAAGAAAGAAGAAGGGAAACATTACTCTACGGTTGGCAATGTACAAGTTTACATCAATAATCTATGATGTGGCAAAATAATGCATATAGTATGTACAGGTAGACAGAAGTCGTCCACGCGCCATCGCCACGTCTAAAGCGACGTTTACGTGGATATTAATACACAATGTAGAAATGCCCACGACGCCATTACCCGATTTTAAACACCGGGGATTTTAGAACCAGGAAATTGTGAAGTTTCTTGTTTTATTACAGTGTTAGGTGTTCATGTATTTGAAATATACAGCATAAGCAATATATGATATTTATGTAGTTAAACCGACACTCGTTGCATGCTGTATATAGATTCTACACGTATTCAACATTGATTCCTATATGTATTACATTTAATAGCGTGACATAACACGTTAAGTTGTTGTTCACATATATGTACACACACACACACATATTTATGTGTGTGTGTGTGTGTGTGTGTGTGTGTGTGTGTGTGTGTGTGTGTGTGTGTGTGTGTGTGTGTGTGTGTGTGTGTGTGTGTGTGTGTGTTTGTTATCATGTTGTTGTGAGTGTCATTTTGTGTTTTGAAGAAAATGCCTGGGATGTTTTTGAAAAAAAATATGTTCCCGAAAATGATTAGAAAAATAACTTGTCCTAAGGTTTGGACCCAGAAATATATTGTCTACTGGACACAGTGGACATCTTGTATTGTGGGTTCAAACGGAATTGTTTGTCACGTCCTTTTCGAGAAATAAATGAACGTATTGATGCAACTGACAAAAAGATAATGTGCATCAAACACCACCACTCTCACACATACAAACACATGAACGTACCCACAGGCACGCGCACGCGCACGCACACGCACACCATCACCGTAAACTTGAGATCCCATAGTTGCTATTTTCCTTTTATGCCCAATGGAATCTGTTTTGGTAGATAATTGTCGTTTTATATTTCACAATATACAGATCTACATGATCACCTGCATTACCCTGTAATAACCAATATGCCACGGCAAAACTGTTATGGGTCGTATAATTGTCATAGAAATGGTTTTGACTAGGGTTACAACACTCACGGTCTTCGTAAAGCTTTCAATTGTTTGATATTATATGTCTTGAGGACATTTCCAAATTTGAAGTATCAGTGACACTTAAGATGTCCGATGCAATTCCCTATTTTGACATGTACCATATGTTCCCATGGGTTTTTTTTTCAGATGAACAACTGGCATGCCTTTGCATGTGTTTGTGACTTGTGGGACAGGGTACGCTCGCCTTTTCGCGAACACCTGGTATCATCACTATTTGATAATGATTCATAAACATACGCTTATGGAATATTCGGAATCGTACAGCTTTTAGCAGATATTTCTTATGATTTTGGAGAGGAATGGAATATCAGCTTAATTCTAGATATTGCTCGAGACGAAGACCGTAATTAGTTTTAAGAACTTGGATCTTGGAGGTTTTTCACACGTACACATCTCTAACACATGTACACAGAAAACTGTTTCTATTCCGAGAGATTTCATCCATTTGTGTATCCTCCTATATAATATTATGTGCTCGTCTATTTTGTTTTAGTGTCATATGACATATTTCTTCCAATTAATTCATGTATCTTTTCATTCTCACTTTTCATCTGTATGTCATAGCAGGACGGTTTGCTATGGTGTACATGTATAGTTCACTGAAAAATAACATGTTGCACTTCAAGGCACTTGGATACATTTGATAACTGCATAACATTTTGAAGAAAAATACCTTCCTTACTTTTAACCCAGGACGAGCTTTGATAAGGCTCATTTTTGTAGCTGGGGAAAATATTCAAGATTGTCAGTTTAGGATTAACTTAGTACAGAATTCCAATTTGCATGAAGAAAAACGATATTTCAAGATGAAATTACTCTACATCACCCCAGAAAACCAGCTTTTCTTTTTGCGTCGAATTGTTTTATTATAAATTCATCTCCGAAAATGCCTCTTTTAAAAGATTTTAGTCACACCTCTTAACTGTATGTTCCCAATAAGTACAACATGGGCTTAAAATGGGAAAAAATACTAGTTTCACGAAAACTCCTTTTATTAATTTTCCCAAATTTGAAGCTTGACGGTTTTCAGTTGGCCAATGAAGATCCTTTCAAACACGGTATCCTTAATGATAAAAAAAATCGTATATGCATGTTGTAGTCACGCGACTAGGACTTTAGTGACGAAAATATCAAATTTAGAAATTTTGCTGATGTGAAATTATCACATTACACCATATTCGCTCTCACGGACCCAAAAGGATATGTTTACAATAATAGTTATAATTAATTGCTATCGGAGCTGCGTGTAGAGGGGTGATGATGAACCTAACCCGCCTGACTGCCAGGGCCACCCGAACCAACTTTCATGCATATATTTATACAGTAGTTCGTTATAACCGTGTTCGTTATAAGCACTTTTACAGCATATAAACAGCAAATGGGCGGGACCAAAAACAGTTCGGAATATCCGTCAGTTCGTTACAAGCGTGTTCGTTATAAACGTAGTTTACTGTACATTTTAATCTGTAAAATACTAATACTAATACAACGACCATTTCCATAATCACGAGACATCTGTACTGAAACAAACAATCATTCCCACTTCATTCTCACCCCCTTCTCAGCTCTTGCAGCCTATGCTCATGCTGCTTCAGCTGTAGGTCTAAAATTAAGATATATGAGGGTTCCAGTTTCGAATTGTTTTTATGTATAATTACTCATATCTTCATTTCGTGCACATGTTAGTTTAATGAAACCAACATATATATTTCAAGTCTGTTAAAAGTATATTACTTCAAGGACAGAATTTCTTAAATCCTCTCGTACAATTTTATCATATAACTAAAACATTTCCTATTTTTCTTTTGATGTCCGTCTTCACAGCAGATAATCTTCTTATACATTTATGATAATCAGTATAGATAGTAACAGCCTTAGTTACATTATTAATTTTATAACTGCCCACTGTTCAGTTAGAGCAAGGGACATAATGACTACTACACGCGTACATATCATATTCTTCGTATCACTGCACAATGTATTTGTCTGACCTCGTGTAACACCATGCCTAAGCATATCGTATTGTGTCAATACAATATGTTAAAACTATCAATATCACTATTTACCATATTGTCTTTCCAAAATAGCTACATATTTATAAAAGTAACGAGGATATTAATGTCTGAGAAAATTTAAGAAATTCGCCTTAAAAAAGAAAATATAAAAACAAATTCCGACAGAATTGAAATTCATCCAGATACAAAAGGTTATTGTTACCATTATAAAGTAACAGCTATAGTCATTACACGTTGATGTAATACCCACTGAATCTGTTGCAAGATCAGTGATTGTCGTTAAATCCTAAATCTCTGTCAATGAGGACAACCTGTGAGTGACAACCACGTGTTGCCCCAAACGTGTACACCGGGTGACTTCCTTGGAACACACATCAATACCGTTCATTGTTTCCGGCCCTGACGGGGCAACACGTGTAAAAGCTGACACGCAACGGCTGTTGAACGCGATGACTGTACGCACCACAACTCACATTGTCAACGCCGATTAGCAGGTAGATTTAGCACGTTGTGTTGAACAAATGTCGAAGTATTTACGAGCAGTGCCCGTCTAAAGTACAGTTCGCCACCTGGCGAAGAACCTGTTATTGTTTCGAAAAGACATCAAAGATCCCATCAATCAGGATATTCGTCAATAGAACAAATATCTTTGTGGTGGAATGTTTGAATCTGGCAAAGTGACATCGCCGATCACTAATAATCTACACAGCAAACGTAAAATCAGAGGAACACATAACTACATTTACAACTTTCAGTTTCTCCAGAGGTAACACAGCATGTAAAGGATAGATTACTTTCCTTGAATGACTTCATACTTCGGATAGGGTTTGTTTATTGGGAGTAGTATATTGGTTGATGAAACCTCGTCAATTGTATGATTCCAACGAAATCTTCAGCAACCTATGCATGTCGTAAGAGGCGACTAACGGGATCGGGTGGTCAGGCTCGCTGACTTGGTTGACGCATGTTATCGTATCCCAAATGCGTAGATCGATGCTCATAATGTCAATTACTGGATTACCTGGTCCAGACGCGATTATTTAGAGACCACCTTCACCTTACCGTAATGCTGCGTAAAGAACAAAACACACGTTATTTTTGCATACGATAAAAAACAACATACAAATCCGTGGTTTCTATCAATTTATTTTCAGTTCTTTTTTCCTTGTAAAATGTTTTGACAACATGAATGACAGCCGCATTGTGTGGCCCTATACTTCACAACATGAGCAGACGATAACACTGCCACACAACCGGGAATATTTGCACATTACTGTTCCAATGAATGAACTTCACAGTATATAGTAAGGGAGGCGCAATGGTAGACAGTACGAGACACAAATCCACTTCAACGCCTGGTGCAATAAGAATTCTAGTACTTCCGTGCCTGATTACGAAACTCTTTTGGAATACTAACAAAACTCAATCATGCGCAACATGGCAGTGCAGTTCTGCCAATAGATACAATCCACGTAGGATTATTTTTTAATGACACAGCTTTCAATGTCTGGATAAATGAAAACTGGCACCTTGTGTAACGCACTGGCTGAATCAAAAGGTTCTGTGCCTTATAAGTGTGAATGAGCAATATTCCAGCAATATCACCACGGGGGACACCAGAAATAGGCTTCACACAGTGTACCCATGTGGGGCATTGAACCCCGGTCTTCGGCGTGACTAGCGAACGCTTTAACCATTAGGCTACCCCACCGCCCCTATACCTGATTAGAAAGTTCTTGTGTCAGTTGACATCTTCTATGTTAGCCTTCACTGCACACACTGACTCATGAGTATTACTCAGAAAGATATATCAACCTGCTCTTAGTAGAAATGAACAGTTACAGATTTACAGAGGGCTGACTGTAT